TAGTTGGCAGTCGATCTCCTGAAGCTAGGGTTGTGGCTTTGTTCCCTGTCAAGGAACCCCAGACTTAAGTGGCAACAGTGTGGGCTCCTTGCCCTCACCCTGCTGCTCCAAGGGCCCCACAGTCTTGTGGTGGTTTCAGTGAGGCTTGGGCTTTTCTGTATGTGGGCGATAGGGGATGCTAAAATCCCCCTGCCCTGTGGCCACCTTTGTCATGAACCACCCTATAAGCTCTGCATCAACTATGATGGACAACTTCTTCCAGACCCTTTTCATTTTCTGTGCATGTCCCTGACTCATTACAATGCTTTCAAGTGAGTTGGATATGAGGTTGTAGCCTGCTGTTGGGAGCTAGTCTCGGGAGGGACACCTGGGGAAGGGCAGGTGCAGGGGTGGGAAGAGTGGGGTCTGCAGGGCAGGGACCTGAGAGGCGTCTGCAGTATGAAAGTTAGTGGGGGACATGTCACGATATAGTATTGGTTAAAGTCCTTGCTTTGAACACGGCGGGATCCCATATGGTGCCAGTTCTTATCCCGGTGGCCCCACTTCCCACCCAGCTCCCTCACTGTGGCGTGGGAAAGCAGTTGAGCACAGCCCAAAGCTTTGGGACCCTGCACCAGTGTGGGAGACCTGGAAGAAGCTCCTGGCTTCAGATCGGCTCAGCCCCAGCCGTTGCGGTGAATCAATGAATGGAAGATCTTCCTCTCTATCTCTCTTCTCTGTAGATCTGCCTTTCCAATAAAATAAACAAATCTTTAAAAAAAAAAAGTCAGTGGGAGGCATCCATGCCAACACAGGAAACACTCATCTGTCTGCAAAGGCAGGGTTTCTAAAGGGTTCAAGGTGGAGGCCAAGGTTCCACCAAAAGTAGGGAGATCAGGGGGAGAGGATCCTGGGCATGATGAGAAAGACTCAGAGTAGGTGTGATGTCCATGCACCAGGGAGAGTTGGAGGGCCACTCCATCTCCCTCAAGCATTTTCTGTGCTGGCCTCTGGGGGCACTGGTTTGTCTGGAGATTCCTGAGAAGGGAGAGGAAGAAGAGCTACCTTGGATGGCTACAGTCTTCAGATTGAAGAGCATAGCTCAGACTAACAGCACTGATGGCAGAAGAGTGGGAGCCTGAGCACCCACCCTTCCAATTCTATTTATTCACTCTTTTTAAAGGTGGGGGATAGTGAGAGAGAGGTGGTAGGGGGGATTCAGCCATCTGCTAGTTCACTTTCCAAATGGCCAGGGCAACACCAGGAACCAGGGTGCATCAGCAGGAAGCTGTTTCAGAACTGGATGCGGGATTCAGATTGGGTCCTCTGATATGGGAAGCAGCCATTCTGAGCAGTGGCCTAAGCCACTGGACCTGGATGTCTGCCCCAGCCTCCTCATTCAAAAAAATATTTACACAATGCACCACTTAAACCACAGCTGAAATCTACAATTCAGCCACATTAAGTACAGTCACAGCATTATATAGACACCACCACTGCCTGATTCTAACATTTCTTCATCACTGTTAAGAGCCCTCCATCCATTTGCCTGTCCCAGACACTCCACATGGATGTGGCATGGACCACAAGGCTGTGGGAAGCTTCCTTGCTGCAGTGTACTGTTCACAGGTCATGCTGTGCTATGTGTCAGCACTTTCCCTTCTGTGGCTGGTCCTTGTGCGACTACAGTTTGTCCATTCCTGTTGATGGACACTAGGTGGTTCGCACCTTTTGCCTAATGTGAATTCCGCTTCTGTGAATACCTGCATACAGTTTGAATGTCTATTTTCAGTCCTTGTGGGCACAGAACCAGGCACGGAACTGCTTGCTGGGTTATACAGTCAGTCCATGCTTAACTTGCTTTTAGCTTTAAAAAATAATTTGAAAGCCAGGGACAGGAGACCAATTCTCTCTCAAAATGCCCGCAGACAGCTGGGGCTCAGCCAGTGGCCGAGAGCCTAGCGCTCAATCCAGGACTCCTACACAGGTGGAAGGAACCCAATTACCCAAGCCATCACCTGCTGCCTATCAGGATGTGCTTTAACAGGTGTCTAGAAACACGAGTGGTGCTGGGCCTTGAACCCGGATGCTCTGTTAAGAGACAGAGTGTGTTTAAGTATCATAGTCACTGTTGCACCACAAGCCTGTCTCTCAGGTTTTCATCTGTTAAGGAACTGCTGGGGCAACCCCCGCCCAAAGCCCAATCTGTCCTCCCTAGATGCCCTAGCCAAGGTTCATGTCGCTCCTGAAGCCTGTCCAGGAGAGGCCCACAGTTCCAGATGGGCTCTCCTAGGAGTGCTGTTTCTCGTGAGGAGCTGGCTCCTGCACCTGGGCTTCTGTAGTCACACGCACCTGCTTCTAGACTGGAGCCTATGCTACCACCCCCTTGCCCAGTGTTCTCCAGGGCTGACCCTGCTCACGGGAGTACCTGAGCCCAGGAGTCAGTTGCTGGTTTACGAGAATTCTCAAAAGAACCTGCCAGCTATTGATGGTATTTCAGACACCAGTAAAACTGCAGCATCGTGAACAAGCCGCAGACTAGCAAAGTTGTATTTATCTGTTCTGCTGTTGGCTCTTATTCCAATTACACAATACTCTCAGACATGATGTAGACATTGAGATGAGAGCAAACTGCCCTTTGTTATCTGTGGGACCTTGGGGAAGTTGGTTACTTGGGTCGCAATCATGAGGAAGATGAAGCAGGCTGAATGATGGACACACCCATATAGGTGGTAGGTCCTTGCTCCCTAACAGTTGTCTCTGGAAGAAACCTGAGTACTTTCCCGTGTACCTTCAATGAGCACCACCATGAACACGCACACACACACAGCAAACAGACCTTGCCCAGAGTGAAGTCTCTGCATGGATATAATGAAGTATTTGGAATGTAATGGAAACTCTGTAAGATTGAGCCAAGGACCAGTGGATATTGGGGCCACTGTGAAGGCTTTGGGGTAAGCCCTGACCCTGTCCAGAAACCACCCTGATGAGGATGTCCTATCAAGGCAGCTGGCAGAGAAGCAAGTTGTTCCTGCCATAGGCAGGGGCCCAGGAGCCCTGGGTGGCAGGAAAGCAGCTGGGAGTGGAGGCAAGTAAGTGGGGCCCCTGATGGGGCTTCTTTGTGTGCACTCCCCTGTAGTCCGCAGGCCTTGTCTCCCTGCCAATCCTGCACAAGTCACTATCAACTTTATTCAGGGAAATTGCAAATCTCTGGCAACTGACCAATGTCAGCCACACAGGGGTGCCTCCTGACTCTTGCACATAGAACTGCACCTGAGCAGACTTTACAGGAAGGGCCTGGACCTTCATACAAGCGCTCTTGGTGGGCAGAACAGAGATCAGGGTGGCTGCCTGCAGCTGCTTGGCCCAGGCCTGGCCTGTACAGGCAGACAGGGCTTCCCTATCCACCAGATCAGCTCCTGGTGATTTGGCCAGAGTGTCTCCTTTTGCTCTGTCCACTCAGCTGGGAACCTCCACAATATAAGCACCCCAAGTCAGGAATGACTGGAAAGTGCACATCCATCTGTGATGTGTGCATCCTCAGGGTTGAGGCTGGTATGGCCAGCAGTGCTGCTCCTACTTCTGTTGGAGGCTGCTGCTTCTGGCAGACCCACCTGGCCACTGCTAGGTCTGGGAAGGTGGGAGACGGGAACAAGCAAATGTCTAAAATGTGCAGCTGCCTCAGAGCTCTCCCATCAGCAGAACCACTGGACAAAAGTGCTCTTCCCCTACAGGGTCCTCAGCACCATGGAGTCATCCTCCTCTCATAGCCAACAGGGAAACTGAGGCTGAAGAAGCCACCCAGCGAGAAACAGCTGTGCCAGATGCCAGCACTGGGTCTCTCTCCAGATCCACTGTTCTTTGCAGATCACTGGTATGCATCTCAAAGGGAAGAACCAAAATCCAGAGGATCAAGTATTTAACTTGGTCCTGCTTTGAGGGTGTGATACATGCTGTCTTCTCTTTCGATGTTCCCAGGGCTGGAGTGCCCTCTGTCTTCTCACTCCTCAGCCCCTTTATCCTACTGGCTACGTCCAGCTTAGCCCCCTAATCCCCATTCCAGCTCTGTCCCTGCCAGGCTTGAACTGATGGGGATTCTCTGTGTGCCATGTCCCTAGCACCAGTCCCACCTTACTTAGGTGTTGGTCTCCTAACAAGGTGAGTTTTCTCTGGGGCACCAGTCATACAAGCTTGGGGCTGCACAGGGTAGACGCTCAGCACAGTGGCCACTCAGTGTTGGTGAATGAAAAGGCCAGGGTTTGCCTTGCAAAGCCAGCTGGCCTCTGTCATATGGCCTGGTGACAAAGCAAGGAGTCAGGTTCCTCTGCCTGGACAATGGGGACTTGGCCACCCGATACCCATTGGCAAGACCCATCAAGGATGCTAGCAATCAGTAGCACCCACCTTGCAGGAGATGCTTGGAATGGGGGGTCTCTGAGCAGGGTCCACACCATCTCACCATCAGGGGGCTGCCTCATCCAATACCCTACTGCCAAGAGGACAAGGGATGGGCAGTTTCTGATGGCTTGGCACTGGTGAGTCCCCAAGTGTTCATGTGTCCAGCCCCAGGGTTGTAGGGCTCATGGCTGCCACTGTCTTAGTGACACACAGAAATCCCAGACCTGTAGCACCATGGGAGAAGGGGAGTTGCTGTGGGTCCCAGTGAGTGTGGCAGATGCTCCACGTGCGGGAAGATTGTGCAGTTCAGCTTAAACCCAGACTGCCAAGTGCACTTGATCACAGCCTGCTCCTCAACATTCTCTGCAGAAAACCCTAACATCCTGTGGAACTTGGAGTTCCAAGCAGCACACTTGGAGAAGTGCTGGGGCAAGCAACAGAGCAAGGGAGGCACTGTGGGAGGAAGCAGCCGGAGCACCAGAGCCCTAACATGCTCTATCCATGCATTCTGTTCTCTGCCATGCAGGAAGCCCCTGGTGACACTGGGTGGACAGTACGCAGTGCTGAGCCACCAGCCTGCCAGACCCTATACCCTGCAGGTGAAGAAGCTGAAAGCCAGACAGAAGGGGTTCACACAGTGTACCCCTTCTTTCTTTCCTATACAGTAGGCTGGTTCTGTAATACGGGAAAACACATTCAACACACACATGGCTGCTGTGTGTGGAAGATGTGATGAAAGGCCAGAGCACATATATGTGAAAAAGCTGTAGAGAGTTGTTCTGCAGGAGAAAGTTGAGAAAGACTTCCCCCTGGGAGGTGACCTGGATGGTGAGGAATGTGTTAGCAGCTCGAAGTAAAATGTAGCAGAGAGGGAGAACTTTCCACCAAAATGCATACTCTTATCAGAGTTTAGAGTTGCTGGGAAGTCACTGCCTGCAGAGACTACATTTCCCAGTCTCCTTTGCATCCATGGGAGAATACATAACTATTGGTGGTCCATGGAACAGGACTAGCAGTGATACATGTTGGATAAGGACAAGGTAGTTAAGAAGTGGTTGGTGCCTTCTCTCCTCTCCCTTCCTGCCAGGCAAAGGCAAGGCCCTCTGAAGCACCCAGGGATAGCAGAGAACACAACAGCTGGGTTCTGAATCACCATGAAAACCAGCTGCCTGCCAGTAGCAGCCCTCTGGGGGAGATCCGTCTGTGTGTTGGAGTTTGTTGCAGCAACAATCTTAACTATGGACTGTAGCAAGACAGCTGGGAGGGTGTCCCAGGCAGAGGGAATGCAGGCCTAGGGCACAGTGGTGCGAGGGAGCACAGTAGATGTTGGGGAATGGAGCTGCAGCCTGGCCATGTGCAGGCAGTGCAGGGTTCAGAGAGCTGCTGCTGGAGGCTGTGGACAGAGGAGGATCACGCACAGGGGCCGTTGCCAGGGGCCCTAGTGTTGCTGGCGCTGCTCTCGAAGGAAGAGTGGAAATTATGGATGGTTTCCTGCAAGATCTGTCTCTCGCGACCCTGTGGAGGAAATTTAAAACAGACACACAAAATCTTATTCAAGCTTTTCCACCATTAATTCAATCAATACAGCATTTGTTCATGCTTCATTCATACTGGGGAAAAACCCATGGGTGTCCCGAGGAAAATCAACAATCTCATTGAAAGAGGACGAAGTTTAATAAAAAACATACCAAGTCAGGACCCTTTTACCCCAGCAATTCCTGTTACTGCCTGGTGATTGCCCCCACCATCATGCCTCCCCGGGATGCAGCAGTCCAGTCCCCTGGGCAGGAGGCAGGGCCCATGGGTTCTGTGACCAGCTCTGTGCACCTTGCTAGCCCTCGAACTTCAAGAATATCTAGTAGGGGCCCAGTGCTATGGCCTAGTAGCTAAAGTCCTCGCCTTGAAAGCGCCGGGATCCCATATGGGCACCAGTTCTAATCCTGGTGGCCCTGCTTCTCATCCAGCTCCCTGCTTCTCATCCAGCTCCTTGCTTGTGGCCTGGGAAAGCAGTCAAGGACGGTCCAAAGCCTTGGGACCCTGCACCTGCGTGGGAGACCTGGAGGAAGCTCCTGGCTCCTGATTGGCACAGCACCGGCCATTGTGGTCACTTGGGGAGTGATTCATCGGATGGAAGATCTTCTTGTCTCTCCTCCTCTCTGTATATCTGACTTTGCAATAAAATAAATAAGTCTATCCAGTAGGAGCCAAGTTTCTTTGTGCTACAAGTTGAGAGCTTCAACTGCCTTTGCTTTCCCTTGTCCAGATATGTAAGATTCTGCTTTGTACTAAGTCACTCTGTACCCCATTCCTAAGCACTCCCTCCTCCTCCCCTACCTCACATAGCACCTGAACCGGATATTGTTATGGATGCTTCTTTAGGCCTGGGGGCATGGCTGACAGGCAGCAACACACTGAGGTTGAAAACAGCCAAGGGACTCAGACAGCCTGGGTTCAAATCCCATCTCTCCCACTGAATGGCTGTTTAAGCCTTGGACAAGACCCTTAACCTCTCTGGACTGGTTTCCCCAATTATGGGAGGAGCTGTAAGTCAGCCATCCCTCATGAGAAAATCCAAACATCTCCAAAACTCTGTGGGTGCATGAGGGTGGACACACCACACCTGACCTGGTGTGACAAGCACAGCTCAGATACAGACATATCAAAAATACGGCATTCAGTTCCTTTCAGGCTATTTGGGGTGTGTATAAAACACAAGTGAATTCTATCTAACCTGTCCTGTTCCCCAGATAGTTCATGATGTACCTGCAAATATTACAAGATCATTAAAAAATATAACCCCAATCCCAAATTGAAAATACTTGGGGTGCCAAGCACTCTGGAGGAGCAGGGCTTAGCTAACAGCTCATGTGGTCACTGTGGACATGAGAGCTCCCCCATGCGAACAGCAGGAGGTGGTACAGCCCTGCCCGTGAGGGTAGCAGTACGAATGAACATCTTTTTAAAATGAACAGGCAAACACAGTTAAAAGGTAAAGGAGAGATGTGGTGTCTGATGGCTCTTTCTCTGCTAAGAGCGAGACACTGTCCACTGAACCAGCCCACATATTATACTTTGCTGGCCTTCATTTCACTGCCTTCTCAGCCTCCAGGCAGGGACCTCTTGTGTGAATGACATCTCCCAGGCATGTGGGAGGACTGAAAGATTGCCTTGTAGGTCAATGTCTGGCTCCCAGCCACACAGGTTTAAAGGCTGCGAGGTGACACATGGGACAGAGGTCAGAGGACCCCGACCCCTCCATGGGTCAGTGGTGGCATCCCAGGGTCAACTCGGTGTGTTGAATTTCTGCTTCTATAAATGGGGCTAATGATCCCCTCCGGGGCCAAGAAGGGGCTCAACCTGTGGTGGCAGATAAGACGGCGCCAGGCACAGTGCACAGAGAGCAGGCTGACGAGCGGCTTCCCTGCTTATGGCCCTCATGGCCTGGGAAATAAGATTAGGATGAGACGGGGCTACAGCACTCGTTGCCACCTGACCTCCAGTAGCAGCTCGTTCGCTGCTGCCACCAGTGGCTGCTAACTGCCCTGTGAGAACCCTGAGTTTCCAAGGACCTGCCTCAAAAAGTCTCCAAGAAGAAAAATGAATGGCTGCTAAATGCAGATTAAAGAAACAAAAAAAGGATTCAACTCATCTAGACCTTACAGAAGTGCATGTTCAAATGAGACACTGTTATGGGCTTGGGAGAGGGGAGGCAAATGAATAAGGTTTATAAAAGCAAACTGACTGGGCTGGCTTGTAGCACATGGGGTTAAACGGCTCCCTGTGACTCCAACATCCCATATGGGAATGTGATTCCAGCCCTGATGGAAATTCCTGAGTTCCTGCCACCATGTAGAAGACCCCGACAAAACTCCTGACTCCTGCCTTCAGCCTGGCCGGGCCCTGGCTGTTGCAGCCATTTGGGGAGTGAAACAGCAGATGGAAGTTCTCTGACACTCAGCTTCAAAACAAACACCTAACATCCCCAAGCTGGTTGTGCACAGTATTGAGGAGGTTACGGTGAGACAGACACGTTCAAGGAGTAACAACGGCTGGAAGGTTAACTCGGGGAGACATGGCAGCACCCTGCAGCTGGCTGTCCATCTGTCACTGCCCAATCAGAAGCGACTGAGGTCACCAGGAACCCAGCCTCACAAAGCCGTAATCCACACCTTGGGTCCCTCCAAATCCAGCAAGGAGAGATCTTCATGCAAAATCCATTTTGGCATACCTATGCATGTTAGTTCTAGTAAAGTTATCAATGATATGTACAGCTGCAGAAATCCTAGGTTAAACAAAGAAAACAGGATGTAAAATTTTGAACCCAAATTTAGCTTTGTTGTATCGGAGTGGGGGGTAGTTGGCACAAAATCCTGCCAAGTCACCTGCTCAAAAATAATTGGGGTAGCTGGATTCTGATTTCTTAAAATTTTCTCTCACTGCTTTGGTGCTGCGCAAATTTAGACAAATGAACACACACTGCTTTCATAATCACACACACACACAAAGGAGAAAAAGAAGCAGTGGCTTAGGAACATGGGAGGGTGACACTCGGGTCATTCCCAGGTAACTTCTCCACTCCCCAGCTCCTTTCTGAAATGAAGAGGCTCACAGCAGCCCTGAGCAGTGTTGCCAGAGCTGCCGGAGGTGGCTGCACTTGGAAGCCACATGGCTGACAAGCTTAGGAGGCCCTGTGCTTTGCTAATACTGTTTATTCTGTCTGAAAAATAACTTCGTGTTATTACGAGCTTGTATTGGGCTCATCACAGGCTACCATGCTCTAAATTTGTCTTTTTGTGTAAGAAATGTGCTTGATGCTAAGATGAGCATTTGGCCTCTTGGTTAAGTGGTCAGCGGGGAGGGCCTGGGTTCCAGCCCAGTCCTTGCTCCTGACCCCAGCCTGCAGCTAACCTGGAGGCTGGGAGTGGCAGGGATGGCTCTTGTTACTGGGGACCCTGCTACCACATGGAAAACCTGGACTGTCCCTTGGCCACTGGCTTTGGCCTTCACTGCTGTGTTAATCCCTGGGCATTGGGGCACTGGACAAACAGGTGGGAACTTTGGGCTTGTCTGCCGATCTCAGTATACATTTCTGTCACAACCCTGGTTCACGTAAGCCTAGTTCTGTGCAGTTTCAGAAAATGCTGCTCGTCTCCCTAGACGTGTTTCTCTTCTCCATCTGCAGGCTGTGACCCAGGACATTGCAGGACTGGACGAGTGGGTTGCCCTTTTCATGCAGGCACTGGGTTCTCAAGTGTGTACACAGACTTGGGTCATGATGGGTTCCCTCTCAGCTGAACTTTGCTAGCAAAAGGAAAAGAATGTGTTGGAAGGCAAAGCTCATGGCTTATAGACATCATGGGAACAGAAGCCCCTGAAGCCAGGATCAGGTGAGTTTGGTGTGGGAAGCTCAAGGCCAGGGCACTGAAGGGGTATGGCAAGGGCTCCTAAAGCCACATTGGGCTCAGGGAGTTTGCTGTTCATCCAAGAGCCAGCAGAGAGTTGCAATGCCAACTAAGAGCGGTAAAACCACACACTTGGCCTGGTAATGTCAGCTTCTGCCAACTGTGCCCTTTCTCTGTGACACTCAATAATGGCTAGCCAAGATCCCAGAGGATTCAGTCTGGTACTGATCATCCTTGCACATCAGGGCCTTTCTCAAGCCCCTTCCCTTGTGTCCCTACTGCATGGGACTGCCCAAGGGCCGGGTGGACGCAGACTGTGGCTAGGATGTGAGTTGGAAGAAATGATGCTGGGCAGCAGCCAGGAGCCAAGCCCCAGGGTGCCCAGCTGCGCCTCTCGCTGCTCTTGATGGAGCCTGTTCAGTGCAGGATGCACAGAGTACAGCATGGGGAGTTGGGGTGCGAGACAAGGGACTGGACAGAAAATGGGAAATGTTCCCATCAGTGTAAGCATCAAGAAACACATGCTCCTTTGGGGCGGGCTCCAGATGTCACATGTGTCCCTACTGATGTTTGCAAGCCAGCCCAGGCTGCCTTCTTTTCATAACCCTGGGCTCAGGGGAGTCATGGCTACAAGAGGACACAGAGGAGGTTCTGGACACACCAGCGGCTACCATCTACAGACCAGGCTCTGCTGGCACTTCCTGACCCCACCCACTTCCAACATCTCCCTCCATCCCCTTTCTGGACTGGCCTAACCTTGGCTGTCTCCTCCTTTTTTTCTCACTGACATGTACATCTGACCTGTGGAGGATAGGATGAAGAAGAGTCTTCTAATGCTTGGGTCTCCTATTGTCCCTCACTCACATCCCTCCCCAAGGCCCTTGCCCCACCTCTCTGGGAACCTCCATCTGTTCCTGGCCTCCCCACCCCTGCACCTCTTGCTTTTGGTACTCCAAGCACTCCTTTTGTTCTTTGCCTATGTCCTGCACCCTCTGGTCCCAGACCCTTTGCCTATGTGCTTCCCTCTGCCAACTCTGCATGCTTTTCCCACTCTTTCAGCCAGTAGCTGCTGCTCTTCCTCCAGGGTCTCAACCCCCTGACACGTCCACAGGAACATCAGGAGAGGCCCTAGCCTGCGTGACCACCACTCTCACCCAGGAGCTCTCTGGGCACTATGTGCTACACACCAACATGTATCACAGGTTTGTTCCGCTGAGGCAGTATAGCATAGTGGTCAGGACACAGACTCTGGGCTCCAATCCTGGCCCTGTCTCCTACTTGGCTACGCGGTCTTGGACAAACATCTGAATCTGAGCCTTGATCTCCTCCTCCATAAACTGGAAGTCACCTTAGTGGCTTCTGTAAGGACAGAGGACGGCAGCAGTTGCAAGTGACATGCTCAAACACAAGGCCAGGTGCAGCGTATTCCCAAGGGCCCAACGCCAGCCCAGTGCCCACAGTACACAGCCACTCAGCAGGCTCTTTTCCAAGAAGGAATCAGAATCCTGAGACATTAGTGCTGCTCTGGCTGATGAGCCAGAGTGTGGGGCTTCAGGGTCCAGACGGACGACCCTCTTAATCCTAACCAGCCCATCTCCACCTTCCTCCTCGCCCCTCCCCTCTGCAAGAGGAAAGAGCCCCTGGCCTATCTCAGGCTTCTCTGTGTGTAAAGGGAGGCTGGCCAGGCCCATGGAGCAGGTGACAAGTGTTCAGGCCAGCTACCGAGGAGAAAGAACAAACAGCAAAGAATAGGGAAGAATATCCAGCTTCACAAATGACACGCATTTCCCCTACACCACCAGGAAGGACGACGCACGATAACCACAGAGCAATCTGGGTAGGGCCGGGAGGAGCCACTTGCAGGCGAGAGGCCTAGGCCCTGGTTCAGGTTCTGCCCACACTGCCCACCCAACAGGTGAGCTGGGCATGGCGCCCCCACCGCTGAGAGTCTGGACCGGAACAGGAGGAGGTGCCAGGATGGCAGCACCTGGCTATCTCCAGGCCTAAGCAGGGGAACGCATGCACACCAACCTGTGAGTGATAAAGTGCTGCATGAATATGTATTGGCTGCCATTGCTGTATGTCTGCTCCGTATTTCAGTACATAATCCCGCAATAGACAGAAAGAGCCATAAAATTGGTCATGCTCTCTGATACAACCTCATATTATGTGACACAGCTTAAAAACAACAAAAGAAAGAGAAAGGAGAAAGGCAGAGACGCCTGCGATGGTGATGCTGGTTAATTACAGCATCCCAGCTGCTGTCCAAGGAACGGGCAGCTGCGGAGCAAAGCGTCAGTGAGCAACAGGTGAGTAAGCTGTGTGCACAGCTGCTGGAATGCAAGGTGGAAGAATCCATCCTCTCTCTGAGAGAAAGTCCAGCTAACATTGTGGTATAGCAAGTTAAACTGCTTGCTTGATGCTAGCATCCCACATGGGCCTCATGGTCAGGCTGCTCTGTTTCCTATCCAGTTCCCTGCTAATGCATATGGGAAACAGCAGGAGATGGCCCAAGCTCGGGCTCCTGCACCCACATGGGAGACCAGGACGGAGTTCCAGGCTCCTGGATTCCCCAGTGCAGCCATTTGGGGAATAAACCAACAGATGGAAGATCTGTGTCCCTCACTCCTGTCACTCTGCTTTTTAAATGAATAATCTTAAAAATAACAACAGGGAGTGTTTGCCAAGTGAGTGATGATCTGCCATTTTTGGTTTTGCCTTTCTGGGTTCATTTCTCGGAGGTGGTGCCACCGGTTGGAGGGGCACAATTAATCTTCAGCTTTAAAGCTGACAGGACAGAAATTTAATTTCACACAAAAAAGTGGGATGGCAGCAGCAGCAGTGATGGACAGCTCCGTGTGTGCTTTAGTCCTGGCTACAAGCCCCATCTCCCTCTCCTTCCTGTCTGAACCACAGAGCTGGGAGAGGTCAGTCCCTTGCCCTGAGGAACCCCGTGAGGACGTGGAGATGCTGGGATTCCAGCCCCTGCTGGCCTGTGTTTCCACAGATCTCCTGAGCGTGTCTCCTGGTTCTGTGCGGGCTGACGATGGAGGGAAGAGAGAGAGAGGACAACAACCTTACGGGAGACAGGGCAGCAGAGTACCAGGGAAGCAGGAAGTGAGGAGGTGCCGGCCTCTCCCAGGGATGCCCACTCTCAGCAATGTGGTCAGGGCTCTGTGAGCGAGCTGGGAGCTGGGCAATGCTCCCTGCTGAGAGCAGCAAGGACAAAGGACTGAGCGCCATACCTTGCCGGCATTCAGCTCTGAGATGGCCGCCAAGATCTGCTGCCTGGAGCCGTCCGTCTTGATGCCCAGCTCCATCAGGTCGCCGTCTGTGAGTGTCAGGAAGGCTTCCATGTCCACCTGTGAAGAGGGAGGGATGGCTACCGTCTGATGTTACAGGCAGTGGAGACACCACGGTCACCAGGGGAGTGCCTTGTGGGGATTTTCTACTGCCCATTCTGGTCATTATGCTTCAAACTTAGTTGAAAAAAAGCATTCAAACCAACACTCTGGGGATGGCCCAATGGCTCGAGCAGCTAACCCTCTGCCTGCAAGTACCAGCATCCATATGGGCATCGGTTCATGTCCTGGCTGCTCTACATCCCACCCAACTCTCTGCTAATGGCCTGGGAAAGCAGAAGATGGAACAAAGTCTTGGGCGTCCTGCACTGGTATGGGAGACCTAGAGGAAGCTCCTGACTTTGAACTGGCTCAGCTTTGGCCATTGCGGACATTTGGGGAGTGAGCCAGTGGATGGAAGATCTTTATTTTTCCTTTTCTCTGTAAATCTGCCTTTTAAATAAAAATCAAATAAACCTAAACAAACAAAAGCCCAATACTCCTCAGACAGGTTCTGAGGGGTGAGGAAAACTCTCCACACGCAACCAGAAATGATGGTCTCGGAGTCATGGAGGTGGGAGGCTGGTGTGGTGAGAACCCCAGGCCTGCAGGGAGAAGGGCAACGCCCCAGCTTGGGCAACCCCTACATTCTCCATGGAGGATCAGGATGATAGTAGGACCTGGGTACTATGGCAGCTAACCTCATGCCACCTCACACCATACAGAAACCTGCCACACATGGCCAGAAGACAGGGCACACAACAGTCCCTGGGGCAGCCTGCCGAGTTGAGAGTAACCACTATCCTGAGGAGGAGGTGGGGACGCATTCCTGCAGTGGGGTAGGCCAAGGCCATGCCTGTCACACTCCTGCCTGCTTCTGAACCAGAACACGGAGTGGAATGGACTAGCTGGCCACAAGCTGGCTCCTGCAAGGAGCTGCTCCCCAGTGTCTTGTAGATCCACTACGACAGTGGCGTGTGTGGGAGTCAGTTTGGCTGGCAAAGCATGCTTCCCAACAGCCTATCAGCACAGAGCTCACCTGCCACACCATCCGGCTACTGACGGGATGCGGGGTGACCATCTGGCAGGCCTGCCTGGAGCTGTGCAACCATCACCACGGTCAATTGGAGCACACTTCCCATGGTCTATCCCAGCTGGATGGCACCTCCTGCCCCCTTCCCCCATGCTTGGGACAACCTCTACTTTATTTTCTGTGTTTGCAGACATTTCCTACACATGGACCCACCAGCGATGGGTCTTATGACCCCGGTCTTGATCTGGGAGCACAACATCACTGCGGCTTACAGGTGATGTGGCAGAAGGCCTGGTCTCTGCTTTCACTGCTCCTCTGCACAGAGGTCTGGGACTGTGTGTTACCACAGCGCTGCCCCCAGCGGATACTGCATTATCCACAGTGCTGTAGCCGGTGGACAACCGGAATGTCGTTTTTCGGTGGCTAGATGGAGCTGCTCTGAACTGTGGGATCCCAGCGTGCTGTGGATGTGTGTCTGCGTATCCAGGGTATGAATACGCCAGGCTATGCCCATGAATGCCACGCTGCACACTGGCAGGCACAGTGAATGGCAGGGCAGTGCTTTTTCTTCCTCTCCTTTTTTATGTGATTTTGGATGCTTTTGAACAAACAGGAACTCCCCAAGACTGCCACAGACCCTAACATGGATAACCCTTGGGACTGGCTTGTGGCCCAAGTGAAACCCACGAGCCTTCAAGTCAAACAGACTCCAACTTTTTTCAAGACAGAGACACTAAAAATCACACTCTTCTGTGACAACCAAACAAGCCACGAGGGCCCCAGGACTGAACTTGGTGTGCCGAACATGGATTCTATTTCCTCAGTCTTGGTGACAGAGGTCGATCTGGGCTGCAGAGCAAAACCTGTGTACTTAGGCAAAGTCTTCTTTGACCAGTTGGATTGAAATTAACATTCAAGAACACCTTTACCTCTTGTTCCTCGAAAATGGGCTGGTATTTCTCAAGCGACAGTTTCTTAAGGATTCCAGTCAGTTCATCTGCAAGAGGGAAGGGAAAAGATGTCAACACACACACACATTTTATAAATGGATTTTTAAAAACTCATGGTTTTTAAATGTCCATAAAGGGACCAGAGTGATAGCTTAACTGATTAGTCCTCCACTTCCAAGTGCTGGCATCCTGACTGCTCCACTTCCCTTCCAGCTCCCTGTTTGTGGCCTGGAAAGGCAGTGGGAGGATGGTCTGAGTCCTCTAGACCCTGCACCTGTGTGGGAGGCCCAGGTTCCTGCCCTCATCATCCCCATCAGCAGGCTTGGCCCAGGTATGGTCCAGCTTGTCTCGGCCACAGAAAACATACCGGCTCTGCCTGCCCAGTACCCACCCTGTTCCTACAAACAGCACTTTCATGCTCAAACAGCCACTTTCCACCACTTCTAAACCACATCTGACCTGGGCCTGGCCTACAATGCACTCCACAGTTCAGGACAGTCAGGTGACGCTGGTCACTAGAAATACAGCCTGATGGCCAAGGGCCCTCACCCCCTTGGGACCTCACTGGGCACCTGAGAGGACAACATTCTTCCTATTGGATCTGCAAATCAGTGGGAAGATGGAGCAAGCCTGGAGCTGTTTGCACCACTAGGGACAGTGAGAGAGGCATCCCCAAAGTGCTTGGAACCAGACAAGCCCACAGCATGCTCCAGACCCTGCCATCCCCCAAGGGAAGACCCCTGGCCTTGTGGGCCAGATGCGGGTCTCTGCAGAGCTCAGGCAGGCAAGAACACACTTTCATAGTGAAGATGTACTTTCCTGTGGGCACACGCCCCAAACACCTGTACCCACAAACCACTGAGGCAGCAACTACATTTCTAGTACCGTAAGGATAAGAATACAGCATGGAATCAGGCAAGCAGAGGAACAGACCTTCCATGAATTAAACAAATAGATCTGACCTCGGAAGGCCATAGCAATTATGGGCACCTGGTGGCTCTGCAGGGCTGGGCGGCTATGCAAGGAGGACTTACCCTCATCAGTGATGGTCCCGCTGCTGGAGCCACCGCTGCTCTTGGACTGCTGATGGGACGAGGAGGAGGACACAGAGGACTCTGCTGCATGCCCTTTGGGGGAGGGGGAGGGCGTGAGGGTCGGGGAGGTGCTTTTGGAGGTAGTGGAGGTTCCAGATGGGGGCCTCTTGCTGGTCTCCAACTTCTGCTAAAGACACAACACGGATGCCGTCACCTGGAGGGCAGCAGAGGTGAAAACAGACACCCACAGCCGTGGGGGAACTGATTCAACAGGACATGTGGGTGGGATGGGAAGACCCACCATAACACCATGCAGGGCACATACATATTGCCAGAACAGTTTCAGGAAGTCCACAGGTGTGGGCCACAAAGACAGGGGTTGGAGGCTAAGCAATTGTTCTAACTATTTGCTGTGAGTATGAAGAAATACAAGTGGCTGTAGTATACTGACCTTGCTTCCTGAAACCTTGCTGAACCTGCCTACTAGCCCTGGATGCTTGTGTGTAGGTTCTTTGGCATGTTCCATCTAGCTAACTGTGTCTTCCAAGAAGGCAGACAGCCGTCACGTCTTTTCCAACTGCCCTACCTTTGATTTCTTTTTCGCGCCTTACTGCACGAACCACATCGTGAGAGTTCCTTGCTCCGCGTCTCGGGGGGGAGGCACAGTCTTTTATCAAGTGTGATGCTGGGTACAGGTACTTTAGCTCAGAATCGGGATTTTCCCTTCAATCCCCAGTTTGCTGGCAGTTCTGATCATGAGTGAATTTTGATTTTGAATGCTGTTACTGCATTTTCCTCTTCTATTAATACTGTGAATCACAGGGAGTGATTTTCTGATGTGGAACAGGTTTATGTTCGGGGATGAACTCCTCTTGGTTAGATGTATTCACAACTCAACCACTGGATTTAATTTGCTAATATTCTGTGGGAGATGTTCACATTTTTCCTGCGGAGAGCAGATTACTGGTATGTCACTTTCTTCTCCTGTTAACGCCACAAGGGACATTCTACAATGATACAGGAGGGTCATTTTCCAGGGCGACCTAACAATCCTAAACAGGGACTGGACTTCAAGACACCTGGGGCAAAGACTGAAACAAAACAGACTGATCCACAGTTACAGTCAGAGACTTGTCTCCCAGCAACTAAGAGAACAAGCAGAGACAAAGTCAGCCAGAACACCAAGTGATGCTACCACCCAACCTGACCTGACCAACAGCCTTGGAACTCCCCCTTTGCCCACTGCGACAGAATAGTTTCACTCCATGTGGAGACTTGCTGACGTAGAGCACATTGAGCCTAAATATACCTCAAGGGTGGTAAAGGAATACATGCTTAATGGAGCTAAACTAGAAATAAGTAACAAATTCCATAAAACCCCCAAATGACAGCAAAACCAAGGATACACTTGTACATACTACATAAAGGGCTGGCGAGCAAGCTTCAGGAGAAGTATACTGAGCCATGTAAGGATCTTACAATACAAGAGCGTGTGGGAGGCAGGGTAAGAGCACTCAGACCTGCATTTGGACAGAAGCAAGATCTCTAAGCAGCAGCCTCACCTCTAAAGCAGAAAGCAGAGAAAGACGGCCAAAACGCAAAGAAAGCAAAGGGAAGGAAATGATAACTGCAAAAATCAACAACATTAAACAAGAAAACACAGAAAATCCACGGAACCAAAGTTGGTTCTAGAAAAGTGTCATTAAAATGGATTAAAATTTTGGCGTACTGACCAAAAAAGACAGAAATCACAAATTTATCTTGATCAGATATATTAAAAGGGGCATTCTTACTTTCACTATGCATTAGAATGATAATAAAGGAATATCACTAACAAGTCAGCTCAGATGAAATTTTGTGAAATCTTACCAAGGCAAAATTTATCCAAGAAGAAACAGGTAACCTGAACAGTCTTATCTCTACTACAAAACTTACCGTGCAAGGGAAAACCTTCCAACAGGCCGAGTTGGTGTCACTGGTGAATTGCATAAGACATTTACAGAAAACACCAATTACACATAATCTCTTCCAGAAAAGCAGAAGAGATGATACTTCCCAGCTCAACTAGGAGCCAACATGACTGCTTTTTTTTCTCTCAGCACTTTAAAGCTGTCACACCATCATCTCTGAATTTTGTCATATCTGACAAGTCTGCTAAAAGCTTGTATTTTGTTTCTTGGTATGCCATTTTCTTTCTCTCTGGAGTCCTTGGAGATGCTCCCTTTGTCTTGTTGGCAGACTTTAACCATCACATGGCCAATAAAACGTGTTCTCTAAGTCCTGGGTCTTTGAGCTTGCAGCTGTCGTCATTCATTTGGGGAACTTCTCAGTCATTATTTTTTTAAATACTTTTTCACTCCACTATCCCTGCCTCCTATTTTCCTTCAAGGATCTCAATCACCTGTATGTTAGAGCATCATACTACAATTTCTGAGTGCTCTGGGGTTTTTGTTTTTTCCTTTAAACTATTTACTTGGGGCAGGGCATCAGCATTGTGGCAATGTAATATAAGCCACTTGTGACATGGGCATCCCATATGAGCAAGGGTCCAAATCTCAGCTGCTCCACTTCCGGTTCAGCTCTCTGCTAATGGCCTGAAAAAGCAGCAGAAGACCCAAGTGGCTGGACTCGCACCACCCATGTGGGAGACCCAGATGGAGCTCCGGACTCTTGCCTCAGTCCTGGATGTTACAGCCATTTAGGGAGAGAATCAGTGGATGGAAGATCTCTTTATTTCTCTAACTCTGCTTTTCAAAACAAACAATTTTTTTAAAAAGTCATTTACTTACTTTATTTGAAAGAGATCTGCCACCAGTGATTCACTTGCCCAGAATGACCACAATAGCCAGAACTGGGCCAGGTGGAAGCCAGCATCCCAGCACCCAATCTGGGTCTCTCATGTGGGTGGTAGGGACCCTACTCCCACTCCAGGTTTTATCTGCTACTTCCTAGGGGGCGCAGAAGCAGGAAGCTGGAATTGGGAGGAAAGCTGAGGGCCAATCACTTTGCCAAATTCCTCCTCTCCCGTCAACAGTTACTTTTTCAAAGACAGGAGCCACAAGACAAGGCAAATGGAAAAGTCAGTGATGAAAAAAAAAACCACACTAATGGAGATGAGGAATGCCTTCCATGGGCTCCTTGGACCTAAAGTGGAACCTGTGAATGTGCTGATAGGTCAATAGAAATGACTGCAGGTGAAACAAAGAAACAAACAAAAAAGGTTAGAAAACACCACCAACAACAGCTGCGATTCTGCTGTGGATGTCCACATTCTGCACTGCAGTGTTGGCTTCGAGTCCCAGCAGCTCCCAGCTAGCTGTGCTCTGGGGGTGGTAGGGTACGGCCAGTTAGCTTTCCCACCTCGTGGCTCAGGTTTGGCCTACCATGGTGGTTGGAGGCTGCTGCTATGAACTAACGGATAGAAGACCTCATTCTTTCTGCCTGTCAAATAAGTAAGTACAACTTTAAAATTAGGTAGTCTTGCATGTGGTTCATATTCTCCACTAGTGCTTTTAGCCTAATAGGCTAACAGTCATAGTTACTTCAAATTTTCTGCCATGTAGTAAATTTTTAAAAGATTTATTTTATTGTTATTGCAAAATCAGATATACAGAGAGGAGGAGAGACAGAAAGATCTTCTGACCACCAATTCACTCCCCAAGCGACCACAACAGCCGGAGCTGCTGCTTCCAGGTCTCCCACACGGGTGCAGGATCCCAAGGCTCTGGGCCATCCTCTGCTGCTTTCCCAGGCCACAGGCAGGGAGCTGGATGGAAAGCAGGGCCGCCGGTATTAGAACTGGCGCCCATGTGGGATCCTGGTGCGTTCAAGTTGAGGACTTAAGCTGCTAGGCTATCGCACAGGGCCCCTGTCATATAATTCTAATACTTGTCAGACTGAGGTTCCTTCTCTTGCCTTTTCAAGTGTCTTATAACTTTTGCCAAAAAGTGGACATCCTGGACAGAGAACTAAGGTAGATTTTTTAATTTAAATTTCTAGGAGTACATTTTCCTTCCACCAAGCCTTCCAGTGTCTTCTCTGCGCCCTGTGATTCCAGGGTGGAAAAACAAGCCCCTTCCATGGGCATCAAAAGGTTTCTGATAGGCCACATATACCATGAATCCAATCTTCCTTCTGCTTTTCCTCCAAGCAAGGACACTTCCAAGCCCTTCTGCAGAAGTCCTCATTAGGCAGGAGCTCATTAGCCGAAGCCTACCAAGCTGACCTTTCCCAGCCAAAGGCCAAGGACTGCGCCACTCTGGACCCCAGGGGTAGCACTGCCGAGCTAGGGGCTCGGTACAAGGCTCACATGGGATCTCTGAGCTACTGGATGGTTCTCTCAGACCAGACTGGCTGGCTGAGTCCACGTGGAGACTGGGACTCCCATGCATGCACCCACCAGCGATGCAAGCACCTTTGGTTTGTGCCTCGCGTGGGAAGAGAAGTTGACTGTACCTGGTGGGCTGTGGGGGCCTCCGGGGACCTAGGCGGGCAGGTGCAAATGCCTGCTCATCACACCCTGTCTCCTGGAGTGCACTTGATGCGGCGGCGTGATCCCGCCAGCAGCCGTGCTTTGTGAATAATCCACAACTACAGTGAGCTGCTTGCTTTAAGCAAAGTACAAAACTCAGATTCACACGGCTCCTATTTGGAATACTAATTCCTAATTCTTCCTCAGGGAGTCGTTGCGAAGCACTTCATGTCTCCATTTGCTGCAGCAGCATGTGACAGAAAGCCCACTTCGGCGTCCTCCGATTCAGGGCAGCAGTTTTCAAGCGCCCTGGACTGGGCTCTGCAGGGCAGGCAAGATCTCACTCTGTCAGGCAGGGGTGGGGCCCAAACCCCTGCAATTTCGAGCAGCTCCCCAAGTTTATGGCACATGATGATGTTCCGAGTATCAGGTGATGGCTGAAATGGACCGTTTCCCTGGTTTATTGTTTCCTGAATGCATCTTTTGACACAGTCGATTTCCTTACATGAGGATGTACTTGGATACAGATTATATATGACAGATGCAGCCAAGCGCACTAACAGCTAATGTAATTTATAACGTAGCTGCCTGCTTATTTCCCGCACCGATTAAAGGAAGCTATAATATCTAACACATATAATAAGATCATCAGAATAAGAATGGAGAATTAAACACAACAGACAAGAAAGAAACTATTCAAAGCCCCAGGCTGGAAGACTTACTTTCATGAGCAGCTTTGAGTTTCCTGGCGGCAAAGGCAAGAAGGGAAGTACAAGGATTATATAAACGCTGACAGACTACATCAAAATGTCAGTAGAGCTTTTTGCCCTGAAGCCGAATTCTATCAGGATCAGGTACTTAATTAATAAGTTGTATCACACATAATTTTTAACAGAATGCAAAATAATCAAATGCACAGGGAGCAAGGAACATTTTCTGTAGCTTTGTTGGAGAGGAACCTGACTGTCAAGGTCCTATTGCAAAAGAGGCTTAGAACAACTCAGCGGTTACGAGACAGCCCGTGGCAGGGCTGAGAACACATGGGCAGGCGCCTGTGTGGTGGGCCAGTATGCAGGGGTGAGGCCACTACTGTGCATGGGTAAGGCTTCCAGTGCACATGGGCGAGGCCCCAGTGTGCAGGGGTGAAGCTCCCAGGGTATATGGCGGAGGCTCCCAGTGTGCAGGCATGAAGCCCTAGCATTCTCATGATTCCAGGGAGAAGGCTGACACCAGCTGGGAGCTGGGTCTGGATCCCTCCTGGACACACAAACTCACGGGGGCTGCCAGTATCCTCTGTGGCTTGGAACCCACACTCTGGGGTTTACTGCATGAACCAAACAAGGCAGGTGGAGGGACAGAGTCCCAAGACAATGGAAGGCATCCCACTGTGTAGCGGTACATGGCGTTGTTGTTCACTGCAAACCCCACAGCCACTACCATGCAGGGACGAAGTGCTCTCCCACTGCCTGGACAGCAGGATGGTAATGGGAAGCAGGGAAACGAGGCTCAGGCTCTGCCCTGCCATGGCCTTCTTCTGCCTCTCCCCCAAGCTGGTGCCATGCTCTCTCCCTCCGGGAGTGGTTCCCTCATCACCAGCCCTGCCCCTGACTCTTGCCTTTCTACCTGATTCCTCATCAGAGCGTGCCAACACCCTCAAGCCAGAGTGGGTGCCCCCATCTGTATCCCTCTGCACCCTGCCTTCTCCACAACAGTCCGTCACTCTGAAGGTGCGTCACACTCGGCTCCTTACTGCTGGCAGCAGCAGGTACACAGCAGGTGCTCCAAAACGTGCAGTGTAGATGACTAAGGTGGGAGAGCAAACCTCACCACGGATACTGCCCACAGGAACCACCAACAGAGATGTGGGCTGTGCATGGGCCCAGTGCTCTGGCATGGGGCTGCAGCAGTGTTGTTAACCCCTCTGCTTGCAGCAGGAACACTTGAGGGACTGGCTGGTCACCGGGGGGGGGCTGCAGGAGCCATGTGCAACAAGCTGGCAGTTTGCAGCACCTCATTGTGGGGGAGGGCAGGCTGTGAACTACCTTCATACAGGAGACCATTGGCACTCCCCACTTCTGTAGAAAGCCCTGCAGGAACTGGTTAGAAAGGCACCTTACCCCTCAACTATGGCCCAACCAGGGCTCCTGACATGTGGACCACGCTAGAACAGAAACCCATGAGCTCAGCGTGGGCAATTGACATAGTACCTTGGTGCTGGGTGCGCTACCACTGCCACCTGCAGGGGAAGTTGGAAGCTCAGACGGGCTGGTCACAGGCGTGGGCCCCCCAGGACTTGATCGCTGGCTGGGCTTCTGCTCAGATAACCCGGCTGCTTTCTTCCGCTGGGCAGCAATTTGTGACAAGACACTGTCTATGCTGCCACCTGTGGACAGACGAAATAAATGGGAACGACCATCCTGGCCTACAGCATGGGCTGCGAGCTGTGTTCTGTGCTGAGCCGAGCCAAGTTTTATCTGCAGGACTTTGTTGCCTGTGGTGGCTTGGGGTCAGGGTGGATTGTCAGAGGGATCTGAGTGAAAACCTTGCAAAGGCCCTCCTGGGAAGAGGTGGGGCAGGAGCCGGCTAGCGCTGGCTTTCACATGACCGTTCCTGCCGCCCCTAGCACAGACGTCAGGGAAACCAGTCAGTGGCATGCCCCTCTTCCTTGGACTCCCCCTTCAAACCCTTGCACCCCAACCATTCCCACCATCATAAGGGATGCTGCACCAATTGGACCCTCACCCCTCTCTGCCGTTTCCCCACTCCGTTCCCCTAGATCTACCTGTGATGTTGATTTATTACGAAAGAAAGAAGCAAAGCAGTACTACACTCCCCGGGTGGCAGGGTGCCTGAGGGACAGCTACCAGGTCCGGAGAGGGTGCCAGGCATTTCGGCAAGCACTTCCCCTACATAGGCATGCATGTAGTGCAGTGGAGAAGGGACTGCTCGGGAGGCCCGTCCTCTGCCCAAGCCCTTATATATGCCTGGGCTGGAATCCCAGTGCCATTCCCAATTCCAGCTTCCTGCGAAGGTACACCCTGAGGGGGTGGCAGGAGATGGTTGAGCTCCGGTCTCTGTGGCCACTTGGAAAGTGAACCAGAGGACGGAAGAGTTTTCTTATTCCCCCTCTCTTTTTGTAACTCTGCCTTGCAAGCAAATACATTTCTTTAAAAAAATAATGGAAAAGGCACTGCGGACATAAGCGGACTGGCATAAAGAGGTGCTTGCCATCTCATTCTGTGTGGGCATGAGGACATGCTGTGGGCTCAGGCTGCCTGGGCCCAGGTCCTGGTGCTGTCACTAAGTGCTGTCACTCGCCTGTCATGTGCAGTTGGGCACTCACAGGTGCCAGGAGACTATAAAACATGACCCACCCAGAGGGCCAGATTCCATGCCTGCTGCAGACTCAGTGTTCATACCTTACACCAAAAATGTATAGTTGAGCCCGGCACAGTAGCCTAGAGGCTAAAGTTCTTGCCTTACATGTGACAGGATCCCATGTAAGTGCTGGATCATGTCCCAGCCGCCCTGCTTCCCATCTAGCATCCTGCTTGTGGCCTGGAAAAGCAGTCGAGGACGGCCAAAAGCCTTGGGACCCTGCACCTGTGTGGGAGACCTGGAAGAAGCACCTGGCTCTGGCTTTAGATTGAGCTCAACTCCAGCAATTGTGGCCGCCTGGGGCGTGCATCAGCGGATAGAAGAACTTTCTCTCTGTCTCTCCTCCTCTCCAACAAAAATAAATCTTAAAACAAAATTTGTAGCATGCACAAAGGTCCTGGGTATACATGTACCAAGTGTACATGATGACTCCTAGGTGGCAAGATGATGGCATTGTCTGCAGCCCAGGCTTACCTGGCCTCACAGCTTTTCCACTCCAAGTGCGCCTGGTCCCTGAGGCCCACCTGGCCCTGGGTGGCCCAGGGTACCCTCAGAGAGAACAGCAAGGCTGTTGAAGGCCCAGAGGAACAACTGCACTCTCATGTGCCCTCAATGCTTCCAACTTGCTGGACCCCTGGGCATATGCCTCACCCATCTTGTACAAAAAAGGGTAGAGTGAGTGGCTCACCAAGGTTCACCCTTCGGGGACTTGAAATCCCATGAAAACACACTGCGTTCCTTTTAGTTAAGAGTTCATTTCTGCCCTCTCCACTCACCCTGAGCACCACGGAAACAGTTTGAACTGTGAACTCCTGGGAAGCCGCCTGCACCTGTGTGTACACCTGAGCATGCTCACGTCTGGGGCTGACAGCATCCTCTCTCAGCCCACCCTCCCCCTGAGCACCCCTCCCCCAGGAGCCCTGCCCAGGACACACCTGACCGGTTATACAGTTCCCCTGCGTGCCTGCTCACACCCCCGACCCCGCTGGAGCCACCCGACGAATGAGGAGAGTGACCAAAGTTCCCGGAGTTGGCAGGAGAGGCGTGGCTTCTGGAGAGACTGGGAAATTTCACCGGCCTGACGGCTGTCTGCAAAAACCAAGTAAATCAAGGGCTTGGGCCGCTGTTCCTCACTCAGGACGCCGAGAACCTCAGCGGGGAGGGCCCCTGAGTCGAGGTGGTGTGCCCCGGTAGACCCACACCTGCTCGCACACACGATCTGCTCAAGCTCCCATGGGGGAGGCAGCTCAGGTCTACAGAGCAGAGGCACACAGGGAACATTTAAACATTTTGTAGCATGTACCCTGCCTCAGCGTGCTACAGAAACCAACCAAGGGCCACACCCTGAAGCCACCGTGCAGAGAGGTGGCATGCACAGCTGGCTCCAGGTGTCCACTTCTCATGACACATCCTGGCAACTGTTAACACCCAAGAACTGGCCTTTTGGCCCTGGACCCTCCCCATTTCCTCATCTGCCCGGGGGAGGCAGAGTTATCGGGGTCAGAGAGCTCCACATGTCCCCTCACCCCAATTTATTAGTCCCTTCTGCACATGCATGACTGGGTTGGGGCCACTGAATTCCCAGCACCTGCAGGTGATGGTGACATGGTGGACCCTGCTGTGTGACTCACGGTCTCGGTGCCCACGGGGTGCCCCCTGCTGGGTCTCTGAGGCAGCACAGTCTTGGCAGGGTTGATTTTCCCATCGTGGCCTGTCCTGGAGCTCCAGAGCTCAAAACTGGAGGGGGGCAAGAAGGGGGGGATGACTGCCTTCAGCTTGTCGCTCGGGAGTCTGGTGAAGGGGGCTCCGTTCCGAAGCTGCAAGAGACAGGCCGAGGGTCAGACCAGCCCAGGTGGCCTCCAGGCTCTGGGCTCGATGACAACTACACCTGCTCTTCCTGCTTCCACTCAAGCCAGGGATGCAGGTGGTGTCCCTGCCTGCATCCCAGCCACTGAGCGACAGCTCCATCCATGCTGCTCTGACTCCCGGCTGCCCTCACGTGGCTCTATCTGCACAGCCAGATCAGGATGGCACAGAGCTGAGGAGAAGCAACCGAAGGGGGTAAGCTGGAGTGGGGAGGTACACACAGGGGCTGTGGGAACAGGGCGGATGAGACACACCATACCGAACCCAAGGGCGATGCAGGCTGGCTCCAGGGAAGATGGGAAGAACATAGTGCCGACAGAGTATAGGAGGGCTAAGCAGGGCAGGACTGGGGCTGCTGAAGGGGCCAGGGGTCAGGGGTGGGGACCGCCTGGCTGATGCCCCATGTTCCATCCCCCATCCCACTTGGCTTGCTCCAGCCCTGGCTCCTATGGTTTGGTTTCTGACCATGTGATATGGGGGTCAGTTGTAAAATCCCCCTGGGGCTGGCTGCTGGTTCATTGAGGACAAGTGCTTGCACAGTGCCTGCTTGCTTTAATTAAGAGGAGACAGTGGCCTTGGTGCCAGATGGCACTTGGCGGGGACAGGCATCCCACCGAGAAGCTTGCCTCAGGGACCAGGAGACTCTGCATCGCTGGCCACAGAGGCTATCAGGGGAACAGTGCCCACATCACCACCACAGGGCCCTCCGTAAGGTATAATCAGGTGGCACAGGCCAGCGCAGGCATGGAGGCAGGTGCAGGCGACACAGCACCCATCACCGTGGTTCTGCTTCCCTGAGGATCTTGCAACAGGTGCTGGGCCTTCCAGATCCCTACAAACTCCATCCAGCCACAGGGGAGGGGCCTGTGCTCCGACAGCTGCAAAACCCACCCCCAGATGGGCACTTGCACACCTGGGTTAGGGGTCAAACCCAAGTAATGATATCGGACTCCCAGGTGGAGGAATTCCATTTCCAGGCTACCTGCCCCAGGAAAACGGTTAAGCAAACAGGGAAAGTGAGGGACAAGTTAAAACACCCCAGAGCCGTTAAAACACCAAATTCAGGGATTGGCATTGTGGTAGAGCAGGTTAAGCTGCTCAGGATGCCTGGCCCCAGGCAGGAGACCTGGAGGAAGCTCCTGGTTCCTGGCTTTGTCCTGGCCCAGCCCTGGCCACTGTGGCCAGGCCACCAGATGTAAAATCTCTGTTTCCCTCTCCCTCAAATAAATACACAGATCTAAAAAAAGAAAATTAGGGGCCAGTGCTACAGCATAGTGTGTAAAGCTGCAGCCTGCAGCACTGGATCCCATGTGGGCACCTGTTCGAATCCTGACTCCTCCACTTCTGATCCAGCTCCCTGTAGGTCCATGTGGGAAAGGGGCAATGACCCAAGGCCCTGGTTCCCTGCACTCACTTGGGAGACCTGGAGGAAGCTCCTGGTTCCTGGCTTTGGCCTGGCTCAAAGGCAGAGAAATCTAGCTAATGACCTACCCCTAGCTGGCTGCAATGGATATAAATAAGGAAGCATCTGTACCAGCGACAACTGCCGTCACTCCACACGCCACGTGAGGTGCAGAGTGCTTAGGGACACGCTGGGAAGACATCCACCACAAAAGGCCAGCAGGATCCCAGCATCACTGCCTGCTCCTTCTTCCCACTGGACCACATCTTCCTGGACTTCTAGAACAGCACCCCTGTCTGGGGAGGAAGTACCACTGCCCGGGAATATGAGTGCAAAGCCTGCAACATGAGCTCTCGCAGCTGCGGCTCACAGTGCAGGTACTGGGAGTGTGGGGGCAGAGCGGTCCCCACCCCTCATCTGCTCCACACTTAATCTTAGCCAAGAGGCAGAGAAGCAATTCTTCATCTGCTCCAAGGCATTCCTCATCCTCGCCAATGCTGCCCCCTGCTGGACACTCTTAATCTCAGCACTCCAAGAAGGGATCCAACTTGAATACCAGAGTGATGTGGACTTAGTGGGCTGGGGAAGGTGTCCCACATGCAAGGCCACACTCCACAGTGGCCCTGCGTCCACACCTTCCTGGGCATGGTCTCATCTGAAAGCCATAACCGTGAAAGATGCTATTCTCTGTGTCAGAGGCTGTAAACTGTCCCCAGGGTCTGCCTTCCACCTCTGCCCGAGAAGCCACACCCAGAGTCTCTACAAGGGCTCCAGCCCACCTAGAACAGGCTGCATTTCCCAGCTTCTGGGCAGTGCCAAGCAGCCAAGGGAACTAAACTCCGGCTGGGCTGACATGAGTGGCAGGCACATGTGGCAGCTTCCAGGAAACTTTAAAGACAACCGGCACCTCCCCACAGGAATCTCTGCTCCCCTCCTCTTTCCTGGAGACCGGAATGAGACAATAATGGTCGGTGCTCTGGCAGCCATCTTGGATCATACTGGACTAGGAGCCACGGGGGGCGGGGCATGGGTAAAGGGAGTCAAGGACCCTAATTCCATGGGGACATTGGGCCAGTCTGAAATGTTATTTACTGGAAAGAAAAAAAAGAGTTGTTGCTTTATTTATGTTCCTGTTAACTGGGGCCTTGCTGTTATCCATTACTGAGCCTAACCCAGATGCATGTCCTGTTTACAGATTAGGACACTGAGGCCCCTCCTGGGCTCTCACCTTGTGCCAGCTGCGTTGCAGGCACTTACTGATCTCTGCCTGCAGAATGCCACCAGGCCTTCCACATAAACCTTGGAATGCCAGTACGGTCTCACCCAGTTCAGACTGGTCCACACTGTCAGACATGGCCACCGGCCACCACCGCCCACACGTTAGGTCTCCTTCCCAGACAATGCAGAGACCTCACGATGCTCTTGGAAAAGCCCCTCACTCACCATGGTGGTCAGCAATGCATCTTCCTTTTCTCCTCGCATGCTCCCGGGACCTGAGAGAGGCGGACAGACAGTAGTCTCCTGAAGTGAGCCCTGCTCACCCACGCAGGGGACGAGTGGCGGGGGCTGGCCTTCATCCTGGGTGAGCAGCTCTCTGGGGCGACTCTATCATTCCTAAGTCCCACGACTTACCACTGCCATGCTGTTCAGGCAGTGGCATGCCCAAAGACTGGTGCCCCAGGAGCTGGCCCAGGCTTGTCTAGTAAGCTGCCCCATCTCCTTCAGCAAGCTGGCAGTCACTCCATCTGTTGGTTACCTTCAGTGGTGGAGAGCTCACCATGGACCCCTGGGTCCCAGGCCAGTCCTTCTACCTCAAGACGCATGCAGCAATGCAGAGCTATGATGTCTGCTAAGTGGGGAGAGCCACCTGCTACGTGGGGACAGACACAAAAGGCCCAAGGTCCCATGGCAGGAAGTGTGGCCCAGCAACCTGGGACTCCCCTTGGCCCACTATTGTGTCCCTGTTCCCAAGACCTGCCAGCTGTGTAGTCGTGTTACAGCCTGACATCCCCCCACCCTGCCGGCAGCCTGGAAGAGAAGGCATAGAACAGAGCACACACACACGTCCTTTTCTCACCACCATCTTTGGTTGCGAGGGCTGCATCGGATAGCCCCGAGCGGCTCGTCTTGTCCCTGGGGGCCGCTCTCATGGTGGAGTCCAGTGCTGGCTCGGGCTCATCGGCGAAAGGCAAGGGCTGCTGGCCTGACAGCCCGCGGGGCAGTGTCTGCATCAGCTTGAGCTTTCGGAATCGATTGGACATCCGGCTCCACCAGGACTGCCAAGGCAATGTGGCAGGGGTGTCACGCTCCCAGGACAGGTGGGCAGGTAGCATCCCGGCCCAGGAATGGCAACAAGCTTAGCTCCACCAAGCTGCCCTCCTGGCCCCGTGGCAGGTAAAGCCAGCACCCCTCTCCGAGGAGCTAGCTGCATCCTCATGGCAGCCTTTCTCCCAACTCGGGGGGTGGTGCTGAGCCCCATGGGCTATCTCTCATCCAATCAGCGTTCACTCTGCACAGACTGGAGGGATGGAGACCTGCGTGGGGAGCTGCTGACCAGCTTGAGGTCCTGCAGTGAGATGGCAACCTCAGACACCTTAACCTCCATCACTGCACTACCTCATCTCCTGTTCGGAGACAATGGAGGGTGTGTGTACCAGGGCCTGGGCCATCTGTTCCTGGCGCTGATGCCTCCCCCACCCATAGGGGCAACAGCTGCTGCCCTCCTGAGGGCTCCTCATGACCCATGCCTGCTTGGAGGGTAGCTGCGGCAGAAATCCGCAAATTTTCTGTTAAGAAACTGGGAGTCTATGTCCAAATTCGCATCGCTTTTGCTTTTGTTGTTTGACACAAATGACAGATGTGGCAAGGCGGACCCACACTCTTGCCAAGCAGTCACTGCTACTGCCACATGGCTAGCACAGCCCCAATGAGGTCACCAGTTCCCTACAGCTCAGCCCCAGTACGCAGCTCCAGTGCCCAGCCTCCAGGCCGTCAGAAGACAGATGCCGAGGGGCAAGAACAAACCCACCTTCAGGCCACCCTTCTCGTCGGGCAGCGTGGGGATGCTCCAGGGCGCCGTGACCTTCAGGTGGGGCAGGGATGGCTGGGGGCTGGGCCGGCCTTGGTCTCTGTTCACCTGCATACAGACGCATGCCAGCAGCCGGACAAGCTCCGTGTCTGTGGACACAAGGACACATCCGTCTGCCAGGCCACAGGGACATCCCAACAGCCCAGCGTCCGCGTGGTTCCAGAACCAAGGCACTTGCTTCTCTGCCTGCTCTGCCACTGGTGGCAGGAAAAGCCAGCAGGGCTCACCCTGCTTCACCAGGAACAAACACAGAACACATTGTCCAAAGTCAGCTTGTGGAGGTTCCCATATGAACTCTGTCCCGCGCTGGCTGTGTGACTACAGGGCCTCTCCAGGTTTCTGACAAGGGGGTGGTCCCAGCAGTGGGTTAAACTGCCACCTGCAGTGCTGGCACCCCATATGGGCACGGGTTTGAAACCCAGCTGCCCCACTTCCAATCCAACTCCCTGCTAATGTACCTCGCAATCAGTGGAGGATGGCCCATGTGCTTGGGCCCTTGCGTCCATGTGGGAGGGCTGGTGGGAGCCCCCTGACTCAGCCTGGCCCAGCCCTGACTACTGTGGACATATGGCGAGTGAACAAGCAGATAAGATCTTTTCTTCTCTGTCTCGCCCTCTCTGTAACTCTCCCTTTGAAATGAATGAATGAGTGAATGAGTAAATGAATAAATGCAGGTATTCTGAAGATTCTAGGGAAGCCGTGCCAGAAAGTATTAAAGTATTTACCATATAGCAAATACTCGAGCAAGGTCAGGGGTTATTAGATATGAATGAGCTCAAAAAAAGAAAAACAAAACCTCCTCAAACAAGATTGAAAACACTCCAGATGATAACCACCACTTCTCTCCTGATGGCCTCTCCTTCTCCCTCTCTCTCTGCAACTGTTTAATAATAGATCCCTGTCTTCTTAAAAAAATTCCACTTAAAATCACACTAGGAAAAAAAAATCGGCTGGGATCAGAGAAGAGAAGCAGGAGAGAAGCTGAGAAGACATTCACCAAGAGCAGTTTCTTAGACAAAGAAAAAGAAAGCACGAGAAAGAAATGGAGCTGGCAGGAGACTGTGACCCTGCCCGCAGGGTGAGGCCAGTGGGCAGCGGACAGCAGCCCCACGCCCTTGCTGTCAGCTCACGCCCCCCAGGGCACGGTCACTTTCTCTCTGTGGGAGTACATGAAGCATGGTGAGGGTCAGAGGCGACAGCCGAGGGTGCCTGCGGCAGGCATGAAGCGGCTGGCACATGCAGGGATAGAAGTTTTCCCTCCCTATGGCCAGCTGTCAGGGTGGGCCTGTCCGAAGGAAGAAAACAGCCCAGAAAGACTAACTAAGGGGAAGCTCCTGGGTACCAGACGACACCTGCCACAGTGAGAAGGGCCAAGGAAGGGGAGGGCAGCAGGTGAGTCCTGGGACTCAGAGGTGGGACCCTCCCTCTGCCAGTCAAAGGAGCAGAGTTCCTGGCCAGAGTTCCAGGAGGGCCAGTCACTGCACCGGCACCTGAGTGGCCCTCAAAACCGGACACACGCCACCCACCTGCTCTGCCCGGAGACTCCAGAGGAGTAGAGCAGGACACCACTGTCGAGAAGCCTGAGGGACTGCCCAGCCCCAGGCCAGCGCGTCAGGAAGGAAGTGACTTGCCTGCGGCCCTGCGGTGGGTGCTCTCCCCTACGCCTAAGCAAGAGCTTAAAACTCAGTTCCTGGGGCGGGGGGCAGCATTTCCCTGAGCAACCCACCGGGCTCGCTGAGCAACATTGCCAGGTCAAAGGCTGTGTATCCATTCTTGGTGCGCAGGGTGACATCAGCCCCTTGGTTCAGCAGGTACCTGACGACTTCCTTATTCCTGGGGAGGAGGGAGGAAGGAGGATGTGAGAGCCAGGTCCATGGCACGACACACCATGCTCAGTCTAAACCTCGATGAGAGAGGATGGTGGTGGGACCGGATGTGTGTGACAGTTCAATCAAAACCTCATTAGTCCCGTGAACCACACAGACCCTGAGGGCTCTGGCCTTGGAGCCCCGACCCCCAAGGGGAACACAGACCCCGCTGCTGATGTCCCTCCTCCGGACCCCGGTCAGGACTGCAGCAACCCTGGCATCTCACTGGTGTGCAAGTCCTGGCTACTCCACTTTTGATCCAGCTCCCTGCTAGTGCACCTGGGAAAGCAACAGAGGATGGCCCAAGTCCTTGGGCTCCTGCACCCACACGGGAGACCCAGAAAAAGCTCTTGGCTTTAGCCTAGCTGTTGCGGCCACCAGGGCAGTAAAGCAGCAGATGTAGAAAGTCTCTCTCTCCTTCTCTGTACCTTTGGCTCTTAAAGAGAGAGAGACAGAAAGCTGCTTCTAGAAGAGACAGGAGAGCCATATACTGCCCTGAAAGGCAAGGAAGGTGTCCCCGACTTGGAGTCAGACCCCTCTGTAGTCATGGATTCTCCCCTCCCTGACCCTGCAAAGTGGCAGCCTCTAAGAGGGAGTGGGCCCACCCCTGCCCCGCTTCTTGTGCAGAAAGATCAGATGACAGCGGATTCCCAGTATCCAGCAAACCCTGAAGCATGGCCTACAGGGACCTTGTCCCATGGAAGGCCCTGATCAGGAGTGGGGGACACAATATCTGCAGTGGGATCTCTGTGCCATCATGGGGGCCAGGCACTTGCAGGGGGGATGGGATTGGCCTTCAGTGTCCACTTTTTGCTCACTACCTACCGCTGTGAGAAGCCAATGGCAGAAGTGGCTGGGGCTCGAGTTGGGAGGCCATGACATCTTAAGGTGCAGACCGCAGCTCATCCCCTGGCTTGCCCAACAGCTGCCCTATGGAGCCCAACTGTCCACTGAAAATGTCCCTTAGGCTGGCTGCTGCTTCGTGGCCACTGGGGACATCTGGGGATGGGAGGGTGGCAACACGGGGTGGAACAAGCCCTTGCGGTTCTCCTCTGCCACATCCAGCATTGTTGCAGCCCCAGATCTTACAGGTTGCATCTCGGAACTGGAAACCTGCCTGGAGGCTGTAGGGTAAGCTGGGGGAGCGGGGCTGGCACTGACCCGTGGTAGGTGGCCTGCATGAGGGCTGTCCAGCCATGCACGTTGTCCTGTTTGTCCACGTCGGCGTGTCTCTCCACCAGCAGCTGCACCAGCGGCAGCTGCCCCGTGACGGCTGCCAGCATCAGGGGTGTTGCTCCGTCCCCGTTGACCAGGTTCACATGGTTAGGGTCCTCATCGGCGATCTCCTTGACTAACTGGAAGTTTCCTGTGGACACAAGGAGGCTCCATATGATTTTGGTTCCTGCAGGGGGCAGTAGACTACTATAATGGGTGGATCAGACGTGGGCTACCATACCTGCCTGCCTCGAATCCCTCCCTCTGCAGGGACCCTAGCTGAAAGTGTACGGTAAAAGATATCAGGATCATCAGTGCTCGGGGAAGGGCAATGGGCACATGCAGAAGGATTCTGGTCTCGCTGAGGGCAAAAGTCAGAGACGGCTTCCTGGAGGTGGGATCTATGCCAAGAGGAAACTTTAGAGCTTAGGAGACCTTGGCCACAGAGATGAGAGTAGGTGTGGACTAAATGGGAGTATGTTAGAGGCAGGGCATGGCTGCCACCTTGGGCTGGGCCTGGGGACAGGGGCCTGGGAGGGCAGTCTGGGTGCTGGGCATAAGGTGGTACTTGATAGAAGCCTGTGTGATCTGGATAAGCAAGAGCAGAATGCCTGATTCTCAAATACTTGATAAGGACTACATGCCGGGGGCTGAGAGCGTGCCCCACACCACGCCGGGGACTGGGAGAGCGTGCCCCACACCACGCCGGGGGCTGAGAGAGTGCCCCACACCATGCCGGGGGCTGAGAGCATGCCCCACACCACGCCGGGGGCTGAGAGCGTGCCCCACACCATGCCGGGGGCTGAGAGCATGCTCCATACCACGCCGGGGGCTGAGAGCGTGCCCCACACCATGCCGGGGGCTAAGAGCATGCCCCATACCACGCTGGGGGCTGGGAGAGCATGCCCCACACCACAACGGGGGCTAAGAGCGTGCCCCATACCATACCGGGGGCTGGGAGAGCATGCCCCACACCACAACGGGGGCTAAGAGCGTGCCCCACACCATGCTGGGGGCTGGGAGAGTGTGCCCCCCACCCTTTGGCAGCCAGAATTTCTTCTCAAGTGAGGGCTTACCCATTTTGAGTGCATGGAAGATGTCAGGTCGCCGTTTCTCTTCATCTAGGTCAAGACGTTGGAAACGTTAGTTACAGGGAGGTTCAAGGCCACGCGAGAAGCTGAGGTATGTAGCACCACGGGCCGGTGAGAAGGAGGTTCTGCAGCCTCGTGGCCTTCTAGCTGGGGGGCTTCCTAACTCATGAGCCCACCAGCCCTTCAACACTCTGGGGACGGAGCTTGGGAAGTGACTGCGCCAGCAGGACACGCTGGGCAGCAGGTGGCAGGCCTGTGCCCACACTCATAAAGCCATGGCTTGAGGCACTCTGGACGTTGGACTGACCTTTCCCAGGGATGCAGAAAAGTCTGGTCTTGCAAGAACCTGCAGACCCTAGGGAGATTCTAAAAAGATACCAGGATTCCCCTCAACCAAAAAAAAAAAAAAACCCACCTAAATGTGCATCTGTTAAGACACTGGACAGCCAACACAGCCACCAAAAGAGTCAGTAGCAACTTGTGCATCCCGTCCTGGCAAATAGTGATGTGAATTACGACTCCAGCACCAGCCCCACAGACACAACCACCTGTCAGTGACTGCCCACCTGACCTGCTGTATGCTGGCCCCTGCAGGCCAGCCAGCTCCTGGGCTGGTGCTGGGGGCCCCATACCTACCCCCATGGGCTCAGCTGTGCTGTACCTGCCCGCTCACACCTTCCTCCCAGCCTGGCCCAGTAGGGCCCCAGAAAGCAACCATTCTAGTGTCAGTCCACCTCCTGACAAGAGGAACAAGGGACCTGTTGGTGCGGCCTTTAATGAGTGCTGGGCTGATGCGCTGGCCTGGACTGGCTGTCCTGGGCAGCTGGGTGGAAGCCACAGCCTGGTGAGAGCCCTGAGCCTGATCTGGACTGAGCACCCCTTCAGAGTGAACTCTCCCCTCGTCACTAACAGAGGGGTGACATCCTTTCCCCGGTGACTGCAGAGACCAAATGGTAACAGAAGTGGGGAAATGTCCCCAAAAAGGGAAGGCCTTGCCAAAGACGATCGCTGCCAGCAACCAGCAACCACCCCGGCAAGGCTGCCAGCTGACCTCTCAGCTCTTCATGACCATGGAACCATAGATCTAATTTTGCCCATGAAGTACCATCACCAATGGGGTCGGCTGTGGTGTGGCACGTTGTCTCTTTTTGTGACACCAGCATCCCCTATTGAAGCACTGGTTGGATCCCCTATTGGAGGCCCGGCTGCTCTGCTTCTGAAACAGTGCCCTGCTAACACTCCTAGGTGTGTCCCCTGTTCCCACACAGGAGGCTGCAGCAGCCAGGGCTCCCAACTCCTGGCTTTGTCCTGCCCTGGCTGCTGCGGCCATTTGAGGGAGTGAACCAGCAGATGGAAAAATCTGTGTCCCTTTCTCAGTTACACTGCCTTCCTTCAAGCAAAAACTTCTAAGAGACTTATGTATTTGAAAGGCAGAGTGACGGCGAGAAGGAGAGATACAGAAAGCTATCTCCCATTTGTTGGTCCATTCTCCATATGGTTGCAACGACTAGGGCTGGTTTAGGCCAGAGCTGAGCGCTTCATCCAGGTCTCCTATATAGGTGTCAGGAACCCAGGCACTTGGGCCATGTTCTGTTGCTTTCCTGGGTGCATCAGTAGCGAGCTGGATCAGAAGTGGAGTGTCCAGGCCATGAACCAGAGCTCCAATGTGATGCCAGCATCACAGACATTAGCTTAATCTGATGCAGTACGACACTGACCCCTTCAAAAATCTTTTTTTAAATAGAAATATCACCAACATGTCAAGCTATGTAAAATACAGCACATTCCTTTAAATCTGGGAGTCCAATTTGCTGTGGTCTGGCGCCCTTTTGCGCCCAGACCCCTTGACAGGAGACAGGTCCCGGTGTGGGCTGCTAAGCCACCACTGGTACCAATCTACCACAGACAGCCCAGTCTGACCCCAGGACTAGACCCTTCCATACCCCTGCCCTCGGTCTTCAGTCCATGCAGGAGCAGCTCCTGAGACCCATCCTATCTGGAGAGAGGAAGAAACCTGTTCTGACCAACCATGGTAGAGATGGGGCCATCACAGCCACACACAGCCGATGGTCCCCTCTCCTGCTGCCCATGGGAGGAACACCCCAGGAGTGGGAACTGGCTTTCTAGGCTATCCTTGTTGTTCACTTAGCAATCTTTGCCATTTTGCCTTGCCCATGGCCTACCTGGGGTTTCTCCCAGGAAACCTGCAGTCCGGGTGCACTCCATGAGCAGGGGCACTTTGACCAGGAAGGCACCCAGCCATGCTCCTGCACTCAGCAGCCTGCATCCTACCCTGTCACACCTAACTTCTCTACCCTGCACTTGCAGGCTTTTTAGGAGAGAACAAGCAAGCTCCAATCTTGGGTTCATCCCTCCAAATGCCCAAAGCTGATGTGACAGGCCAGGACGAAAGCTGGGAGCCAGAACCTCAAATCAGGGTCTCCCATACAGATGGCAGGGGCTCAACCAGTTGAGCCACTACCTCCGGCTCTCCAGGGCACACAGCTGCAGGTGGCTGGGATGGAGAGCAGAGCCAAGGTTCAAACTCAGGCACTCTCCATCCAGGCCACGCACAAGCATCTCAACCACAAGGCCAGGAGCCCGGCTGTCCTCCGTTTTTGCCCCTTGACACTTAGCATCCATACTATTGATTTTTTTTTTTAACTAGGCTTATTTCTTGTTTACAGCTTGTCTCCTACAGAGGCCAATGTCAGGGATTTGGGTCTTTCTATGGCTACAATGTTGTCTTATACATAGAGTATTTGCAAAATAACTGAATTAATGTGTGTGCAAAAAAAAAAAATCTTTTGGTACAGTGTTACTTTGCTTTTATCTTTTCTTTATTAAAGGCTTTTCATTCAGTCTGGATCCTTCCCTGTTACAGCCATCTATGTGTTCAGCGTTGTGTATGATACTTCATATTTGGTAGCTTGTAAATGAAGTTAAGGAATAAAGTTTTATTTATGGCTACTTTAAAATTAAAAAAAAAAATCTCACATGGGGTAGAGGACACCTGGCACTGCGATTAAGTAGCCACTTGGGACACTTGCACTGCATATTGGTGTACCTGGTTCAAGTCCCAGCTACTCTGCTAACATGTCCTGGGAGACAGCAGGTGTTGACTCAAGCACATGGGAGATGTGGACTGTGGAGCTCCTAACTTCAGCATGGCTCTGTCCTGGATATGACAGTAACTCTAGGGACTAGGAACCAGCAGATGCAAGACTCTCTCACTGCCTTCCAAACAAAGTAAAAATAAATATATTAAAAATGTTAAATGTATCTCAACACTGAAGAAAGCACAATAGCTTCTCTTCAGCAGCTGTGTACACATGCTAGCCAGGCACTGGATAAACACTCCACAGCTGGTTTCACCCTAGCTCCCCAAACCCACCAAGGGGTACTGTGTTAATTCTGAGTCGTGGTCCTACTGTGTGCAGTGAACTAGACGTGCTGGTGGTTGTGCTTGTAAATCACGTATCTTACTCATCTGAAAGGCAGAGTGGGCTCTCACTTGCTGGTTCATTCCTTCAATGCTCCCAGCTGCCATAGCTGGGCCAGGTCCAAGCCAGGAGCCAGGCTCTCAATCCAAGACTCCCACATGGGCAGCCCTCACCTGCTGCCTTCCAGGATGCATGTGAGCAGGGAGCCAGAAGTGGGGGTGGAGTCAGAACCTGGGCCCAGGCGCTCTGGTGCAGAGAGCAGCGCTCCCAAGCAGAGGGGGAAGCACTACGCTGAACACCCACCCCTTGGACCAGAGGTCTGGAAATACACCGTGTTCTGGGGGCAGATTTGCTGAGGATTGATTGATTAGCCATACTTCAGACGCCAGGAAAATGGCAAAAAACAAAACAAAACAAACAAACAAAAAAACCAAGAAAAATAAAAACAGGACACACATTATTGAAGCAGAAACTCAAAAGGGGGCTCATTTTTTTCTAACTGTGTGTGAGTCATTTTTGCGGGACTGAGCACTGGCAGGTGCTCAGAGGTTAGGTGAACCCGAGCAGGGGCTGGCCAACCACAGCCGGGGTCACATCTGCCTTCCGCCCTAACTCAGCCAGGGACCTCACCGGATCTGGCCACACCCTCTCATTTACATAAGACACAAGGGAGAGTCTTGTTCTGGAAGGATCCCAGGACCACCTGCATCAGAAGCAGTCTGGCTTGGGAAGAGGGGTCTGGCCAGGAAGCATGGGACAGCAGAGGGGTGGTCTGACCTGTTTTGGGCCTGACGGTGGTCAGTGGGTCCAGGTAATCGGCAAGGTCCCTGTGCTTGCGGTCCAGTGCCACCTCGAAGGCAGTCTTCCCCAGCACGCTGAGGTGGTCGGGGTTGGCTCCCTTCTCCACCAGCTGCTGGGTGATGCTCAGCCGCCCGGCAAGCGCAGCCAGCATGAGCGGGCTCCAGCCCACAGTGGGGGCCACGCGGTTGGAGTCGGCACCCCATTCCATCAGCAGGCGCACCACAGCCTCGTGCCCATGCTGGATGGCGGCCATCAGGGCCGTGATGTCCAGCAACTCATTCCTACTGTCCCCCGAGCCTGGCTGCTCGCCCGAGGAGCTGGGAGGGTCCACGTACGCGCCGGCTTCCAGGAGCAGCTTCACCACTCCCAGGTGGCCACCCCGAGAGGCCACAGTGAGCACGCTGGCCCCCAGACGGTTCTGAGCATTGGCGTCGGCCCCGTGATCCAAGAGGAGGTGTGCTACGTTCACATGCCCAAATCTGCCAGAGAGAGAACCAATGATGCTAAATGTGCAGCAGTACTGAACGGCTATGCAGTCTTCCTATCATTACCCGAAAGCTGCTGACAGTAACTGACTCCAGGCAGTGTCCTGGCCCACAGGTGCATCCCAAGGTGAGCAGCGGCCACCCTGCCTAGGTGGGAGTGCAGCCCTGTTGTCCACCTGCTTCATGACCTGGAGAAAGGACTTCGGGTTTGCCATGCCTTCATTCCTGACCTGTAAAATGAGGGATGCAACTCTACCCACTTCAACGGTTACTGAGAGGGCCCGGCGCCATAGCATAGTGGTTAAAGTCCTCGCCTTGCACACCCCGGGATTCCATATGGGCGCCGGTTCTAATCCCGGCAGCCCTGCTTCCCATCCAGCTCCCTGCTTGTGGCCTGTGAAAGCAGTCGGGGATGACCCAGGGCTTTGGGACCCTGCACCCATGTGGGAGACCCAGAAGAAGCTCCTGGCTCTGGATTGGCTCAGCTCCAGCTGTTGCAGCCACTTGGGGAGTGAGCAATCAGATGGAGGATCTTCCTCTCTGTACATCTGCCCTTCCGATAAAAATAAATCTTAAAGAAAAAAAAAAGGTTACTGAGGGTGACAGGAGTTCATATAGTTTTTTGTGTTTGTGCATTTTTTTTTTGCAAGCTGATACAGCGCCACCTGCTGGTTTCCTCCACATATGCCCACACTGGACAAAACTTGGTTAGACCAAAGCCAGGAGGCAGAAGAATGCCTGCCAGGTCTCCCCCAGTTACATGAGCGATCAATGTCGCCTCACAGGGTCTGTATCAGCGGGCAGCGGGAGCCCGGACCGAGTTCAGCATCAAACCCGGGCATTCTGATGTGGGACACAGGCCTCTGAACCACTAGGCTAAACACTCAGTCCAAATGAGTTGATACACACAGGAAGCACCACGTCCTGGCAACCACGATTTACCTTTCACAACAAGTCAAGGTCACTCAGCGGGAAAGGGTCGGGAAGGGCAGCAGGGCCTCGGGTACCTGCTGTCCCTGCTCCTTCCCCTTCACACACTGCCTCCCGCGTCTCAGCTTGGCTTACCCTGCTTTCCGTCCTGGTCACTCGTCTCAGCCTGGGCAGGGCCCCTGTCTAAGTCATGTCTGCCTTGGCCAGCCCCACACAGCCGCTGGCCAAGAGGTGTGGCGCTTGCAGAGGCTGGTCAGCAAACAGGGGCTTCAGCACCCAGAGCAGAGGCCCACTGCCCCGCTGCCCTGCTACTGCTGGAGTCTGGCCAGACCTAGCTCAAAGAACCTGGAGATGGAGGGATGGTGGGAGCCTGAAGGGGCAGACAGGTGCCCACCGACTGTCCAGTGCCAGGGAGAAGAAAAGAGAGCCCTGTCAACATCTTGGGGCACAGAAGTCCTGCGGCATCTTTGGTCAGAGTGCAGCTGTGCACATCTGAGCTGCAAGTCACCCTGGACCGGGACTAACCAGGAGAAATAAGACAGAGGCAACGTGCCAGCCTTTACATAGCCTTGTGACTGGCCTACGTCACACCTGTTCAAGGCCAGCCTGCAATACACCTGTGTAGTGCCATCCTACGTTGCAATTGTGCAGGGCCAGCCACACTGCACCTGTGCCATGGCTCTCTGCATGCCAGAGCTGCTCCCCTCACCTTTCAGAGGCAGCTTCTGGGCCTCATCTAAACCCAAGTCGCCCTCCTCCCTGTGGAGGAAGCAGGGCCGGACCAGGGCTGAGCGGACAAATTCCTCCTGGGACGTGAACCTTAGCATCTGAGGGTCAGCTTACAGAGCACAAGGTGGGGAAGGGGGATGCCCCCTCTTCCTCTGAAGCACAGAGTGGGCACAGTGGGGCAGGCCAAAATGTAACACCCTCACGTGCAGAAGGCTACACCCTCAGGGGTCACTCCACGTACGGTCCCCAAGATGGGATTTCGCAGGCTGAAATCTGCTACTGGCCTCTAGGCCTCTCATTGCAGACGGGCCCTACCTAACTGCCAGAAGCATTTCCTTTTCCATCTCACACTCCAAGCCCTCCCCAGTGGCGTCCCTCCCTCCCTCCCTCCTTGCCCACCCCTGCCCCATTCCACCACGCTGTCCCTCCAGCCAGTCCACCCCCCACCAGCAGACCCTTGGCCTTCCCTGAGCACTTCCTCTGCAGCTCCACCCGATGGCTGCACCTGAGCTCTCCTTCCGGACCCGCCTCCCCTCTGGAGAAGAGCTTCCCTGGCACAAGGCTGGGGCTGCCCACTCGTTTCCCAGCCCCAGTCCGGGGAGTTCTGTCAAGCGGACAAGTGAGTAAAGGAATACGAGAACAGACCTACCACGGGCATTGGGAATGACTCCGTTTCAGCCGAGATTACAGCTGAATTCTAACAGCTCGGACGAGGCGCTGTTGGATCTTTATCTCATGTGATCTTAATAAAGCCCAAGTCTACTAAACAAACTCATCCCCTCCCACTCTACAGATGAGAAAGCTGTGGGTTGGAGTGCAGGGCAGTTTGTCCAAAGCCCTCCGGCTAAAAAGGAACGGACAAACCTGACCCCAGACTCTTGGCAGGATACCCTGCTTGGTTTTTATTTTTGTTTTGTTTTGCTTTTTTACAGAGGGAAGCACAGGGATGCCTTGGAGCAGAAATACTGAGACTTGGAATGGGTTCTGAACTCTCGGAGAACCCAAGAGAGCACTCAATTAGGCTGAAAATTAAAAAAGGGATTCCAGGAAAGCAGAGATAATTTTGTGGATGTTAGGCTTCTAATCGGTAATTACTGGAGATGGGGTTGCTAGGGGCTTTCTGAACAGGTGCTGTGATTACGGATTAATTTCAGCAATTAACACCTGTGTCTCGACAGCTGGCACACCTTCCTGCCCCTCGGAGCCCTGGGAGGAGAGTCCAGTCTTCCATGAGGCAGGTGGGAGGTGGAGGTGCCAAAAATGGGCCATGGGTGAAAGCGTTTTGTTAGAGCCAAAGTAAACGCTGGGCCACGCCGTCCCTGTGGACAAGCTCTGGGGGTTGCTTGCTTGTTGCCAACACCAAGTGGGAAACTCACCCTGGACTACTGGACTGGTGGCCACCGGGAGCTCAGGCCTAGAGCCACCTACCTCAGATTCTCTCCCTCTTACTAGCTCAGTGACCTTGGGCAAGTGATCAACTTCTGTGGGCAGAAGAAATCCCTCATCAGTATGATGAGGTGGGGACGCCAACAGCATCTGGTCCTCAAGGCTGCGTAAATAAGCTAACTCCGGGTAAGCACTGGGCGCAGCCGGCTTGATACAGAGGCAAGTGTTCCGTGAGGGACTCTGAGAACAAAGAATGTACATGAACACAACCATCTCTGACACGCAAATACACCCACGGGAGACTCCAGGTGCACTGCAGGCCCAGGGCTGGGGCCTTGGAAACCCTGAGGACTGGGATGGCACTTAGGCTTCCAGGCCACCTCGGGTGGGAGGAGAGATGGACAGAACCCTGAGGAGGATGCCCATGGCCAAGCTGCTGTTCTTTCAGAGTTGGTGGGACACAGAACCCTCTCCAAGGGCAAGCCCCTCCCCAATGGCAGATTTCCTTGGTGGGAGAACTGGGGGGTGCACCCCCTCCGCACAGACCTGAGGACACCCAGGGAGAGCGCAGGCTTAAAGGCCCCAGGTCCTGAGAGAAGAGCGAGAGGGCCTTCTCACCCCATCCCAGGAATGTCACCTTCTGCACATGTAAGTAACAGCGAAAGCCTCACGGACGTTCCCTGAAAGGCACCTGCAAGAGGAGACCAGAATACAGTCTGAGGGACAAGGTCAGGATGCTGCGACTGTCCGTCCTAGCCCTTGTTACAACACTGCCTGTTGAGCCAAGGCCAAGTCCACTGTGCTAACATTAGAGAGGAGACGCTAATTCTGAGACTCCAGCCCCGTCAAATGAATGGAAATTAAGAAGCTGAAACTAAGCTGCAGGCAACACTGCCCATCCTGCAGGCCATAATGACCAGCCAAAGCTTCAGAAAGAGAACCCGGGAATCTGTATCTGGGAAGCATTGGGGCATTCCGATGCGTGGCCAAGTGGAACACCATTGAGTAAACCACTGGGAATCACACGGTGTGCCGGACGCCGACACCCGGGCTGCAGAGAGGGACAGTGCGGGGGGCTTCCAGGAAGCAGCAGCGCCAGAAGGGAAGGAGGCGCGTCTGCAAGGGCACTGGAGGAGGCCAGGCGAACGGGCAGTGCCTCCAGAATAACTCGAAGTTTGTGTGTGTCACCTGGTTGAGGCTGGACAGCAGTTACCCGAACCACAGGATCACCCGCTTGATGTGGCGGCTGAAAACAAGGTATAATGCAGAATCAAACTGGGCTCATCAGATCAGTTCCTTGGGAACCACGGGGTCCCAACAAGCAGATGAAGTGGCTGAGGGGAAATGCTGGCTGCAGAGACAATGACCACTGCTGAAGAGTGACCTGAAGTGGGGAGAGCCATGTAGTTATCCAGGCAGGTCCGATGCAGCCACAGTTCAGTGTGGAAACGAAGAAGGGAGGCAGTGGCGTGATCACGGCTGGCCTTCAAGAAGGAAGGGGCCGTGAGCCAGGGAGTGCTGGCAGCCTCCGGAAGCCGGAAACGGCAAGAGGATGGGTTCTCCCTTACAGCCTCCGGAAGCCGGAAACGCCAAGAGGATGGGTTCTCCCTTACAGCCTCCGGAAGCCGGAAACGGCAAGAGGATGGGTTCTCCCTTACAGCCTCCGGAAGAAATGCGACACCACCATCATGTGATTTACCCAGCTCACCCCGGCTCGCAGTCTGACCTCTAAAACTGTAAGATCCGAATCTCTGGTGGTCTTAAAGCACCAACTATGTGCTAGGCTGTGCCAGCAGCCACAGGAAGTGGGTACAGCAGAGGGAGAGCCATGAGGCACCAGCCCTAGCCACCAAAATTGCAAAGGACCCCTGCACCTGCTCAGGTGTGAACCGAGAGACGTCTCAGTGAAGTCACTGTAACGTGAATGACAGCGAGGGGCTGGACAGAACCAAAGATGACTACTGCCCACTGGGGCTGGTGAAGTGACAGTTCAAGGTGCAAGGCCACCAGACCCACAGCAGGGTTTAGGAAAAGCAGCCACCGTGCCTGGCATGAAGAACATGGGCGCAGAACATAGAGTGGGGCACCTGTGGCAAGGAGCATAAGGAGGACAGCAGCCATTTCATGGGCTTGTGCTGAGTCCACCAAGCAAGCAGGGGTTGCTGGTGTCAGGATACCCAGGGGACACAGGAAATGATGTCTGAACACTTTTTGCTTACGACCACTGTGGGGTGAGGGAGGGACACTGCTGACATCTCACGAGTCCAAAATCTCAACAGTACTCAGGTGGAGAAACCCTGGCATAAAGCTCTTAACAAACAAACAAAACACATTAGGTAACTCAGCCAGCAGGGCTCCAGCTCTTCCCTTCTCTCCCTTTCCCCACTAAGGACTCCTGGCTGTTCCTCTGGGACTGATCCCAGCAGCAGGGGAGGCTGCTCCAATTGCTCCCACCAGGACAACCGTCTTCAGGACCCCCGCAAGCTGTGCCAATGGATCCTCTGCTCCTCCTATGCTTAAATACCACTCACTCCTGCACCACGCAGCCCACCAGCCTGCCGGGACCCACCACCTCCTCCACCACACATCCCGTCAGCCTGGGGCCCACCTCCTTCTCCACCACACAGGCTGCCAGCCTGTCAGGGCTTACCCACTCCTTCACCACGCAGCCCACCAGTCTGCCGGGACCCACCACCTCCTCCACCACACAGGCCGCCAGCCTGCCAGGGCCCACCTCCTCCTCCACCACGCAGCCCGTCAGCCTGCCAGGGCCCACCTCCTCCTCCACCACGCAGCCCGTCAGCCTGCCAGGGCCCTCGCTGTGCTTCCACAGAGCTCCCTGGGCTACACCAATGACACGCCCATCATCACCTATTAGAATCCTTGCGCTGCCCATAATGCCTCCTTTTGCCTCCCACTATCCAAACGCACTTGCCGCTCCGGATTCTGCCCTGGTCAAATGGTGAAGTTAGATCACCAGGTTCAAATCCTGACACGTCATTCAATGGCCGTGTGGCCTTGGCCAAGCCAGCTAACTCCTCTGCGGCTGTTTGCTTTTGTCTAGGACAGTAGCACTATTTTTGTCATAATACCGGGGGAGGAGGAGAAGCTACGGTGATGAAACCATGAGTAGGCTTCAAGACTGTTTTGTGCCTATCAATCAACTCCACACTTCCAGTTCCATGACTGGACGATGAACTTTTGGAAGTGTCCTCACCAACAACGAATGAACAAATGCTACACTGAATGAACATTTTCCCTCTAAGGGTTAACTGGCCCTCAGCTACCAGCACCAGCTATCACTTTATTTTTTTATTCCAAATTTATTTTTGTTTATAAGACAGAGTTTTACAGAGAGAGACAGAAAGAGAGGTGTTCCAGTCACTGATTTACCATGGACAGAGCTGAGCTGAACGAAGTTGGGAGCCAGGAGCTTCTTCCAGGTCTCCTACATAGCTGCAAGGACTCGGGCCATCCTTCACTGCTTTCCAGGCCATAAGCAAAGAGCTGAATGGGAAGTGCAGCAGCAGGGACATGAACCCCTTGCCCATCTGGGATCCTAGTATGTGCATATGGGATCCTGGCAAGCATTTAACCACTTAGCCATTGCGCCAGGCCTGGGGGGCTATCATTGTTATCTGACACATTCACGGGGCCAAGTCCTCCCTAGACCTATGCTGTGGACCTCCTTGCCCTCTAGATGCCTCCTCGCCAGCTCCCCATTGGATGCCTCTTCTCAGGGATGTCCTCCACAAACACCCTCCCCCCCAGGATGTGTGGGCACGTCTCTTCTCCCTCATTCTCTGCTTGATGCACCTGCTGCCAAAAGCCAGAAATCCTGCCACCATTTCTGTCGTCTCCCTCACCTGGGTCCCCAGCACCAGCAGCCAACCAGCCATCAGGACCTTCCTCACAATCCAGCCTGTGGTCCAGGATGCCATCGCCTCTCTCCTGGCCTGCTGCTGCAACCTCCTGGGAGCCCACCTTTCTAAATCCAGCTCCCCCTGCCCAACCCCTCCTTCCCCTGCAATGAATGGAGTTCACCCACAGGCTAAGCTCATCGTGTCCCTCTCTCTACCCTGCATGGGTCACAGGGGCCCTGGCAGTCTGGACCTCCACTCAGCTCCTGGCACAAGTCTCACCTCTCCTGGCTCAGCTCATCTCCAAGGGCCTTAAATGCCTTCCCAGTCGGGCACTGTTCCAGCAGCTGGTACAACCATCACCACCTGAAGTCGGCTCCAACTCCCATCCCACCTTCTCACCTCCACCAAACCTGCTCTCGCACTTCCCCCAGCAAGGTCAGCAGCCCTCCCAGCAAGCCCAACCATCCCAGCCCTTCCGCATCATGGGGACTCGGCAGCATCCCCAACACCAAGTCAGAACTGGTGGTCAGGTCTTAAGGAAGCCCTCGTTGCAAGAAAGCATGGGAAAAAGGCCTGCCAGGGTCTACGGACAGTCTCCAGGTTGCGTCTTTAAAGGCCAGAGTTTCCAAGACGGTGATTTCATGCAAGTTAAGCGTTTCCAATTGCTCTCATGGTCAAAGTTTGCCAAAAACCACTCCAAGTTTACCACAGCAAACTCTAACGAGTCCTTGACCCTTCAACTTCCGGAGCGTCTTGTTGGGGGCAGAAGGGAGGCATGCCGCGTCCTGAAGGCCCCTTCTCGGCCGCCACTCCCGGGAGCCCCGGCCCGCTCACCTGGCCGCCTGCATGAGCGCACTCCAGCCATAGTGGTTGCGGCTGTTGACCGAGGCGCCGCGCCGCAGCAGGAAACGCACCAGCGGCTCGTGGCCGCCGGCCGCGGCGAACTGCAGCGCCGTGTTGCCCGCCTCGTCCGAGCAGTCCACGGGCACCGGCGCTCCCGCCGCCGCCACCGCTGCCCCGGGCCCGGCCGCCTCGGCCCCCGCCGGCTCGGCGCCCACCTCGGGCTCCGCGCCGCGCTCAGCCGGCTCCGCCGCCCCCGGCTCCAACAGCCGCCGCGCCGTCTCCGTGTCGCCCTGGTCACAGGCGCGCAGCAGCAGCTGGAAGGCCGGGGGCAGCCCGCCCTCGCCCATCGCCGCCCCGGGCTCGCGGCCGTCCGCGCCCGTCGGCCTTGGCGGGGCCGCGCCGGCTCCGCCTCCGGATACGGGGCGCCCGCGCCCCCTTCCGCCCGCCGCGCGGTCCGCGCAGCCCCGGGCGCCTACTGTGTGCCGGGAGCGCACCCGGGGCGGGACCGTGCGCCTACTGTGTGCCGGGGGAGGGACGCACGCCGGGGCGGGACCGCGCCTCCACCACCCGCGTCCGGGGCGGGAGGACGGCGGGTTCCGGGAGGCTCCACCAGTGTCCGCCGCCCGGGCCCGTGGACAGCCGCTGCCTTCTGGACGCCGGCTCGCGGCCCTCTCCCGCCGCTCCGGAGACTTCCTGTTGGGGACAGGGGGTCGGAGCGGCCGCGTGTCAAGGACCGCCGGGCCCGGGGCCGACCCCATATCCCCACTGGCGTTGACTGGACTGGCATACTCCACTGCCCTGTTTTTATAATCCGGTGCGTATCCTCCGTAATAGCTGCCCGAGTTAATCGAACGGGACCGCCGCGTTCCTGTACATCAGTAGCAACAGCGACATTAGTACAAACGCACCAGTTTGCATCTCAGACCCACTGGATGAGAAACTGCGTGTGGAGCTGCCAAGCTGTGGCTTGACAAAGCCCTGCGGGTTAGTCTAATGGTACCCGAAAGTTGGAGACTTGGCCTTGGATCTAGCAGAGGGGAGCACTGGCCACCCAGGAAGGTTCAAAGGTCTTAGCAGTGACCACACAGCAGGGGAGCTGTGTGGCTAGCCCTGGAATATCCTGTCCAGCTCTCCATCCTCAGCACGTGTTGACCAAGTGCCTGTACCAGTAAACATCCAGGTGCTGGGCAGGCGGATGGACACACGTGAATTCCCTGGATAATCCTCCCCAAATAATCAAGGAAATAGCTTGCAGGTGGTGGAAATGGCAACCAGCTTCACTCCTGGTAAGTCGCTTACCTGTGCCACCTGCCCATCACAGTGACATGAAATAGCTGCCACTGGTTGACTGCGTTCCATGGACTGAGCACTGTGGCCAGACATGACAGAGTTCGACTTGTGACTGTTAAATGACCGAGTCTCCTCTATGTAGAATTGCAGTGCAGGGCAAAGGAGGCAAAGATTAGACAGGTCTGGGCTGGCAAGAACAGGTGCTCTTAACTGAAGTATGAAAGCAGGACAGTCTTGAAAGTGCATAGGGCTCAGATATTTTAATATGTATGTACTTTATATGTGTGTACTTTACCTTTTAAAGATTTATTTATTTGGAAGGCAGAGTTAGGGAGAAGATCTTCCCTCCACTGGTTCACACTGTAAGGACTTACGGCTGGTGCTGAGCCAGGTAGAAGCTGGGAGCCTGGAACTCCACACACGTCTCCCAGTCTCCCGTGTTGAGTGGCGGGGCCCAAGCCCTCAGGCCATCTTCCCGTGTTTTCTCAGGTGCTTTTGCAAGCAGCAGGATGGAGGTGGGAGGTGGAGGCGCCTGAACTTCAGCTGGTGCTGGTCTGGGATGCACCCCAATACCAGCCCTGAGGGCTCAGCTTGCAAGGGGCTTTCATGCCCAGATGAAAATGGAGCCACGGGGAGCCCCAGAGAGTACCCGAACAGGTGCATTTCAGAACTGGAGCTCATCTCTCGAGCCCAACTTGGTGCACGCTCTCTCACTTCCAAGTGTGGCTCCACTCACAAATAGGGCAACTTCCTTTTGAAAGTCAAAAGATGCTTGTTTCCTTGAAAAATCCTCAAAAAACTGTACCGTTGTCTGACGTTGGTTATTCAGGTGTCATCTAGTACTAATGTTTTCATTATGAAAGTAACACAGAAGCAGTACAAAAGGGCGTAGGGTGGGAGTAAAAGCCCCTTCCCCTCCTCCATTGATGCCTGATCATCGCTTCTATTATGTCTTTCTAAAAATAGCTCCTGGAGCCCCAAATGTGCACATGCATATGGGCACTCGTGTTACAACTTTTTAAAAAAGATTTATTGACTTTTATTGGAAAGGCAGATCAGATTTACGCAGAGACGGAAAGACAGAGATAAAGATCTTCTGTCCGCTGGTTCTCTCCCCACAAGGCTGCAGGTATAAGCTGGGCAGTCCCCTGTGGGATAGTCTTTCTAGACATCTCTTTCTCTTGGGGACCCTCCCCTAAAGCAGCATGGGGTGTAGTGGTTAGTGCACATCCAAGCCCAGGGTTTTTGCTGAGGCCGTTGGGCAAGGCCCTTTTTGCTGACGTGGTCCCATGTCAGGATTACAGGGTGTTGTTGGCCAACCCCAGCTCTCTCTGCTGTCACTTGCAGACAGCCTGCCTCAGAGTCGAGATCCCCCGAGAGAGCAGAGCCCGGCAACAGGAGGAGATCAAGTCGCCCCGTCCCCAGCCCCAGTTCTTTCTGGTAGGTTTCTTGTGGGCCGATTGTCATCGCTTGCAATCCAAGCCTGAACAAATCTGCTTTGATGAACAGGTTGATGCCATGCATGCTGGTCTGTATCTTGCTCTTCCTTTCTTCTTTTCTTTTTTTTTCTTTCCTTTTCTTTTTTCTTTCCTTCCTTCCTTCCTTTTACTTCTCCATTTCACAGTGTCTTGGGATGTACATCATGGATGGGGAAACTTTTTTTTGTCAATGACCATTTGGAGATTTATAACATCTTTTGTGGGACATACAAAATGGTCAGGTTAAACATTAGCCTGCCAATCCCAGAGCCTATGGAACTGTGTCATAAAATGAAATTTTAAAAAATTAGCCTGTTTTAGACTTATTGAATTTTGAGTCCTGCCTGCAGTTGCTTTGGCAAGGTGAAACCAAATGATTTTGCAAATCTTCTATGGCCTGTGGGCCAGACGTTTCCCACTCCTGGTGTAGACGAATAGATAGATCTGCTGTGTGTTTTTTTTTTTTTAATTTTGAGATATACGCACTTATTTGAAAGGCAGAATAATGGGGAGGAAGAGAAAGATCTGCTGGTTCGCTCTCCCAAACACCTACAACAGCCAGGACTAGGTTCTAGGCTGAAGCCAGGAGCCCAGAGCGCCATCTCATGTAGGTGACAGTGACCTGAAGCCCTGGACCATTATCTATTTGCCTCTCAGGTGCATTAGCATGAAACTGGGACTGAACTGGAGGAATAGGATTTGAACCAGTACTCAAGCATGGATGCTGGTCAACAGGCAACTTAACCCACCACCCTACAACAACCTACAATGCCCAACCCTGCTGTATCTGCTTTTTATTATTTTAAGAGTTATTTATTGTTTACTTGAAAGAGAGAGTTACAGAGAAACAGAAAGACACAAAGAGAGAGATCTTCCATTCATTGATTCAGTCGCTAAATGACTACAACAGCCAGGGTTGGTCCAGACCAAAGCCAGGAATTTCTTCAGGGTCTCACACATGGGTGCAAGGGCCAAACACTTTCCCAAGTGCAGTAAGAGGAAGCTGGATTAGAAACAGAACAGCCGGGTCTTGACATGACACCTGTTTGGGATGCAGGCACTGCAGGCAGCGGCTTTTTTGCCATGCTGTATGCTGGCCCCTGTTGTATCTGTTTTTAACAATTGCACATAACACTGATCATTATACATGACACAGTTTATTAAATCATTTTTAAATGCTGCAAAAGAACGTATTTGCATTTTCTGTCATTGTAAATGCAGCTATACAGGTTGGCTTCTCACAAGACGCAGGTGGCACACTGGCTGAGGTCTTGAGGAACGTTTGCTAGAGAACCACAAGGAACATTGGAGTGGTGGGGTACCCAGGGCTGACAACAATGAGGAGCAGACATCATCATAGGCCTGGTGAGCCGGAACGTGCACTCAGCGTGACCCTCATGATCCGTGTGCACACTGAAGTCTGCGAAGTGTGGAAGCAGCACAGCTTGACACAGATACCCCTGGGCCAAGCGTGCCTCTCTCTAGGCATCTTTCTGCATGAGTCACTGTTTCGGTTAGCGTCCTCTGAGAGTCAGGTGCCTACCTGGTTCTTTCTCTGGGAAGGATGCTTACGGAGCAGAAAGGGCTGGTGGAGAAGGAAAGGGAACCTGCTGGCTCAGATGTCAGCTAACACCTGAGCAGGCAGAGTGGGAAGTGCTTGGATGGCAGACCATCAGAGATGACATGCTGTGGTGACCTGCCCCAGGCAGAAATGGCCAGCTCCTGGCTCTGCCACCATGCTCAGCTACTAACCGGGAGGAGCCAGAGGACATTCCAGGATCTGATGGCATAGTCAGATGTGTGAGAAGTGACAGAGACAAAGCCTCCGGCTTCTAGGGTGTCCTGTGCTGCTACAAAACATAGTGGCCTGTGAGTCTGTCAGTTCAGAGGAGGCAGCACAGGTTAAGTGTTGGAGGGCCTATAAACAACTTCTTTTTTTTTTTTTTAAGATTTATTGCAAAGTCAGATATATACAGAGAGGAGAGACAGAGAGAAAGATCGTCCATTCCCAAGTGTCTGCAACGGCCGGTGCTGTGTTGATCCGAAGCCAGGAGCCCAGATCCTCTTCCAGGTCTCCCATGTGGGTGCAGGTCCCAAGGCTTTGGGCTGTCCTTGACTGCTTTCCTAGGCCACAAGCAGGAAGCTGGATGGGAAGCGGGGCTGGCCGATATTAGAACTGGTGGCCATATGGGATCCTGGCACGTTCAAGGTGAGGACTTTAGCTGCTAGGCCAACACTCCAGGCCCTATGAAAAGCATCTGCCACCTGGGTAGAAAGAATGGGTGGGCTCTGGGTCATTATAGGGCAAGAAGGAAAAACAGGTGGGAAGTGTGATGGATTAGGCAGAGGTAAGGAGTGCTGTGATGTAGAATAATCTGTAAAGTGCATTTGCTTTTCCATGTCTTATTTTTTCCTATTAAGGTAATGATGTTTGTTATAAAGAATTTGGATACAGAAACATAGAAGGCAAGCTCTTTGGAATTTATAGCTCTTGATTTTTTTTTTCTTTTTCTTTTTAACCACTTTATTTGCCTACAAGTGGTCAATTACCATTTGTTGAAGAAAGTCAATGAATTAGG